TCAGCAGGCAGTCCGGCTCCTGTTTTGTCTCTCGAGGAAACGCACTCAGAACAGAACATCTGGCTGTTTGCGTTATTTCTCCTCTGCAACAATAGACGTATGAAATCTGGAGTTTGACCTCAGATTGAACTTGTCGACTGCACTCCTAATATAGAGCGCTGCAAGAAGTCTTAAATCTAAAAGTGATCCTTCATTTACCAGCTGAAAAACATTACGCAGTCATACTAAAACTTACAAGGAGTGGGTCAAGTCCAGCCATTTTAAAAAGAGAACAACTAAGAAACAAGTGCCACGGGGTTGATTTAGTCATATGAATCTGCTGTTCTACTACCTTCTTTGATCTACAGTGGTTCACCTTTTGCTTTTTCCAAAAAGCTAATGCTTTTGCTGTATGGATTTTAGCTTATCTTACAAAAAGGAAATCAGCCGCAAACCTAAAATTGAATTCATTTTCAACATCTTTACAGATATAACAGGCTATTTGTACATATTTTAATTTTACACTATATAATTCACTAAATGAGCACTTCTTGTACAAATGTGGGTTTGTTAATACTCAAAAGACAAAAACCAAAACCAGGAAGAATCCCCACTTCGGAAGTGGTCACCTAAGTGGGATTTAAATCTTGCTCATCTCCCCACTGGCTGTTTAAACTCTGGATTACCCAACAGCTTCCTCTGCGGCCAACTGCACATTTCATTATCCCCATACATGGGTTACCCTGCTGTAGCATAAACATAGCCAAACGCACCAAACGCAATCATCCTTAGGCAGGCCACCACGGCCTGCTGAAGGAAACACAGGTTTTACATCACACTGGGCTCTACTGTGCTTTAGTAAGAGATGGATCCAAATCTTGAGCAGGATAAGGGTGAGAAGAAAGTCGTGAGAGAGGGCAGATACACGCATAGACATCCAGTCATGTATCAATCCACCCCTTTAGAAATCCTATGCCTGCTCCCAGAAATATTCTCCAATATTTCCCGCTCTTTTTTTCTCTCCTTTGTCTGTCTGAGTCCGCCCCGATCCGTTTCTTTTGTTCCTCATGGGAGCAGGTCAACCTCTAGAACCAGGCCGTGCTCCTTTCTCAGAAGCGAGCCCTGTGGGAACTGACTTGTGGATTCTGGCTGCGTAATGACAGCTCTCCCTCTCTGAATGGAGGAGACCGCAGTGGGCCCTGAGTGAATGGTGACAAGAGGGAGTAAGGTGGGATTAACAGAGTGTGTGTGTGAGGGTTTGTTTTTACGTGACCTGCAGGGAAATAAGTACAAAAAAAATGATAAACAGTAATCAGTTAATCCAAGCATGGCTCTGATTTGAATGGGGACACAACTTGGGTGTTAAACAAGTGGTTAGCTTCACTGTCATTATGTGCCTAAGAGTAGCAATGTTTGACACTCACAAGCAGTTTAGTCTCAGCCTGGGCCACAAGCGTCCATCAACAGACATGCCAAGTGTATGTTCCCACACACACATATAAAGGTCTTTGGGAAACACTTGAATATAGCAACACACCCTAAACTTGATAGCATGCAGCAGATGAAAGATCAGGCAAAGACACACGCCTATAAATATCTGAAGGATAGGGGGAGGAATGCTCAATGCCCTGTGCATGTGTGAGTGTTAGATAAGATGGACTATTGACATTAGCAGGTCAGCTGGAAACACGTGTTTATTTACTCAGAGTTTTGAGCAAGTGTGTGTGTGTGTGTGTTTACACGGCCCAGCTAAGGGGCATGGAGATGTCTGACAGGGACAGCTTTGGGCTCTCCTAACTCCAATTATCCTTCACTCGTTTGACCTGCTCTGAAAATGAAAATAGCAACTCCCAGTTCAACTCCCAGTTATATTTGGCTGATATGATATTTGGCTGAAGAGACTTAAGTCGAAAACACAGAGTTAAAGTCCCCCCTCACAAGCGCAAAGATGCTATCCACCTGCTTGTGGCTCAATGACTGGTGTTGAACTGAAGGTATGGGCTCAAAACTCTATTTTTTCCACAAAATGCTTCACAAGATAGCCATGAAGGACAAGGAAACCACAGCTGAAAACACCAGCTGGAGGATACCACAAACATTACATGTACATCACCACGCTCTCTTGCTCCCGGTGGTATTAACAGATGTTATCACTTCACTAGAGACATGGCTCCACTGAACATAGTAGAAAACTAAGGATTTAAGCCACCACCAACGACGACAGACAGGCACTACTGTCTGCTTAGTCACAACCATTTGTGCCTGGTCTCTCCAACTGGAGTAAAATTACAGGGAATTACAACCGTCAACATACTATTCTTTACATTCAACAACTTTTGAGTTACATAACGTAACGGATCTAAAATGAGGGGGGGTTAAATTGTTTAGTCTTGAGAGTGCAGCATCTTTTTCCTTCTTACTAGAATGCAATGAGGCTTCTTAATGGAAGATGGAACGGTCTTAATTCACATTTCTACAACTAAGGATAAAACTGAAAAATGTGGCAAAACAAATATGATATAAATGCCTTAATCCAATGTCTAACTATTAACCACTGACTAAAATAATATCCCAGTTCATTAATGGTCAGAGGTACCTGATTATGTTACCAGTTCTACATGTTCCAGCTACTGTCATCCTGAATAATATTGAATATGGTTTAAATGGCAAATTTAGAAGCTCTGCAACAAATTCCTAGTCACCTGACGTTGCTGCACTGATTTATAATGTTTGAATTGGGCTTTACTGCTCCTCCTCTTATCATTCTAACATCTGATGCACCAGGGTGTGGCAAAAGAGTTCACTTAACCAAACATTGTTTAGGTGGCCCTTGTTGGCCTCTCGCAGAAATCACAACACATTCAATCTGGTTGTGTTTAAAGCCTTTAAAGCCTGCTCCAAGGCAACAGTTTTTTTAAGTCTTTATGGTCCTTTAACAAAATACTTAAAAACTTATTAACAGAAATCATTTTTGAATAGTCATCAATTTATTACTATGCAATAACACAAAATGATTGTAGCCTTCAGTTATCAGTCATATCTGCAAGTGCACAACAGCGTTTTAAGCAAAGTGTTCAACGTTAAATGATGCAAAAAATTTCAAAGACCCTACATATGTAATATAATACATTTGGCATCATAGGGTTGAACTGTGGACTCTTTGTGTCCCCGCCAAGACTCAAAGGCATAACCTTTGACCTTTGCCCTGATGTCCAGTACATCCGCATAAATGGATTAGTGCATATCAAATAAACACATGAAGGAAATGCTATTTGCCCCGTTTACTTTGAGCGGATGGCTATCTGCCCATCCATAGACACGCATCCACTCTCTCCCTCCTTCACTTAATGGCAGCCTTCCAGCATAAAGAGGCCTCTCTTGTTGGCCCTCACCTGTAACACGATCCATCTCTAAGCGGGGGTTAAGCCCACAGTAGTGGGCAGCTGCTCTTAGAAAATTACATTCAAATAATTGCTGAATAATTATGTCACGCAGGTAAAAATGAATAGTAGTTTAACTTTCATTGAAATGTTCATTCAGATCATGTCCAGCTGGTCCGTTTGGCGTATTCTAATAAAATTTGCCCCGTCTGGAGAAATGCTGTAAGGCGACTCAGAAAGCAGGTGTTTATGAGAGGAAAGAGTTAAGAGTCAGGCTGACAGGTCTGTGTTGTAATAAATTTCAAGGCAGCACTTCTGTAACGCCAGTGTGGTGCTCGGGGCCATGTGTGAGCTGGCATCTGCGGATCACAACGTCACGCACCGCATTCCAACCTGTGTTCTCACACCTTGTCTTCAATTCTGCTTTGGAACAGATTGATGGAGTGGATGCCTTCCATGGAACAGGACATGGCCCTGAATCTAGACCACAACAGGGCCATGATGTTCGATAACCCAGTTTGGCTAGAAGTCTGGAAGATGTCATGAACGGTTCACCCCTTAAGCACAGCTGAATCACTCTTTTGTCTCATCGCACGTCTCACTCCCTTCTGTCTGAGATCTGTCTGCGTGGCCTTTGGGTCTGTGTGTGTGAGTGAGTCACAATCAGACCCAAGACCGGGTGAACAGAGACAGATCTAATGTAGAGAGGACAGAAGGAAGGAAACGAGTCCATGAGTCAGAACTGGAGCACTTCTTCTTTATAACTGATGTTCTGTGTGGAATCTGGGCTGGTGTTCTTTCACCCTACTACATACAGCTGAAATAAACAAAAGGAACTCTGCCCAATAACAATGGGAAAACACTATCACTCAAGAACTGTGTTGGTAAATACTGGCAGAAAACAACCTGTTAGATAGGAAGCAGTGGTCTACAGCAGATAAGAGGATAGGCCTATCATAGGTCCTAATTCTGCTGGCTCAGCCACTACGGGTCAACGTCAGTGTCTGAGTTAATATGTAACCACAATGGCAGTAAAACAAGTTTTTTAAAAAGTGACTTTATATCCATCCTGGCTTTGACCAATGTTGCTTAAAGTTAAAACCACAAGATAAAAACAAAAGAGAAAAGGAAGTGTGAGGCTCTGTGATCTCATTCTGCTCTGAAAACCTCAACACAGATGGTCAATATGCTGGGAGGAGATCCATCATTTCAGACAGGACACAATGTCCCTATTAGCATATGTCTGAAGAAGGACAAACATGGCCATGTGCTGAGGAGACAACGACCGAACCGCCCAGGGTCTGTTAAAGGACAAAACATGACAGTCACCTTGGACCTGACCTGCAGCCATCAAGCTATCAACACCAGTGACTTTAGGTTTGAATGAGATCACAGCCTGGCAGAAAGTGACAGCTGCCTCACATCAATGCATCTCAAGTCTCAGAAATCCCTTTTTTTTAATCTTATTAATCCCAACTCTCTGCACCACTACTCAGATTACATCAATATGAACAATGTTAATAATGTATAATAGCACAGTAGTAGCAGAGAATAGAAACGTTTGAATTAACAGTGAGTTTTTGTTTTGCTATACATTTAAGTAACAGGCAGCACAAAAAAAAAGAAGTAAGAAAAACTTACGGATTTTGGTCTTCTTGGGGTCTAACCTCCAGACCTCGCTCTGCAGCACGCGCAGCCTCCCCTGAATCCTGCAGGACCTCCTGAACACCAGCCCTGCCTCCATCTCAATGCCCAGGAAGATGTCGCTGGCATGTCGAGAAAGGTCGGAAAGTTGGTAAATGATGCTGGTCAGAGTGTGACAGCTAACCTCATCCGAGGAGGAGAACAGAACAGGTCTTCGCAGCTTTCGCTTGCCGCTCTCTTCCCTCGGTGTCCAGCCATCCCTCGCCGACAATCTGCTCACACGCCGCGGCTCAACAGTCCTCTGGTGAAAGGGCATATTCAAATCATACCAACAACTTCAGCGGGACCGAAAAACTATTCGCCAAGCCAAGCCGCTTCAGAACAAACCCGAGGAAAACGGCTTCCCTACAGTCGCTGTTATATTCAAGATAATGTATTCCACAAGTCCCGCCATATTTATTTGTTTTTCAAAGGATGAGACTTGGAGCTGTGGCAGCACACCGGAGACGTTGCCTCTCAAAGTCTATTCAAATCTAGCCAGACACAGAGCAGGCTGGAAAAAAAAAAAAAAAACCCAGGAAAAGGGGGGGGGGGGGGGGAGCGAATAAAAACCCGGAAAATACTTTAAACCACCTGTGGCGACTGGAGCGGGAGTCCCTCGCGGAGCAGAGTTTTAGTTTTACCTGCTGTCCTCCGGAGGCCGGTTGGAGGAAAGGGACCGACACAAAAGCCCGGAGCGGATTTCCTGTGGAACGGCACGCGGCGAGGAGCCCGCGAGGCACTGGAGGGTTAGCAGGAAGCACGAGCCCAGGGCCCGAAGTCTCTGTCCTGCCCCGCGAACCAACTCCAAAAAGTGATATATTTCAGTTTCTGTTGTGTTTTGCTGCTTATAATCCGAATTGTACGCCAATACCTACCAGAAGAAAAGAAAACCTTACTAAAAAAATTAACACAGGTTTAGGAATAGCGTTTAGTACTAGAGACAACTTCAAACTTTTGCCTGTAACATGTGCTACATTGTTTTAAGCTATATATTAAAATATTAATAAAACAACAAAAAACTTTAATTTACTTTAATCTTCCCTGGCTTTGGTTCTTATGCCGGATGTTTGTTTTGATTTTTTTTTTTTTTTAGCACGCAGCAAAAATAATGCTAAGTCAGAGGTATTGCTGTGCAGGTTTTGAGGAAGTGGGGATATTTTTTCCCCCGTGATCTTAAGCTGCAAAAAGCGTTTGGTAGCTTATGCAAATATTTTTCCAAAAAGTCAGAATGTAGTTTGAACTCAAACACTTACCAACACTTTTTCGGAACTCACTGTTTTTTTGTGTTGTTTTTTTTGTTAAGGTTATCATCATTCTGCTCTGTGCAACTTCTGACATCCCCACTGCTGCACTTAAACGAAAAAGTAGGGATTTTCCACAGACATAGGTATTAAACGTTGCCATTTAAGCCATGGCTTTTCCGAATGAACTCTGAACATAATATAAAGAATGGATGTCCAGCTATCAGCCTGTGTCGTCTATTGCGCCCCCTGGTGTCTGCCAGGGGACGTGGCAGTTCTCTTGGAAGTATTTACCATCAGTTCCAATTATTTCCAGGCCCTTCCCAGCAAGAATGTGATCTGTGGTAATAGTTTAACAAGTTACTCAAACATTAAAGAGAACATTTTTTGATGCAATAGTGTGTTGGAGACACCCACTGAATCATGGGAAACAAAGGCAAAGATGAACATCCTGTTGAACACCAGTAATGTGTTCATGTGTCCTTCCATCAGCAGAAAAAAAGGGTTTGACGGGAAAGCAGCGTGAGGGTGACACATTGGTGGAAAAAAAAGAGCCTGTGTTGTTTGTTGTCCTCACATTTTCAACGTTGTTCCTTTTGTTTATTCAAAAAACTATTTCTGATATATTACATTATTTCTAAATTAGAAAAAGAACTGAAGTGATTCCCTACATGTCCAGATGATAGATTTGAGAAACAAGTGAGAATAAACAAAACAAACGGCTTTGGAGATGAAGATAAGTTTAATCAAGATTAAATATATGCCCCCAAAAAAAGATTTTGCAACGTATAAGAGTTCCAAACAATACAAAAAAAAAGAAAAGATGAGCGCTTCTGCCTTTTAATAGATTGAGTTGAACAGTTTCATTCTTCCAAACAAGTTCTGGACTTTCATTTTGGGGTAAAACAGAAATCTCATTTACCTTATTGTACAGTGCATTGATTTGCAATCCCATAGCCTTCTGCCACATCTAAAAACCCATACATAAACTCATTTATAGAATTATTTACATACACGGCTTGATCAACTCAAGCCATTCGGCGAGTAGTAAGAAACTGGTAATGGTGTCAAACACTATGGCTTGGTTAAGCCAAAACAACAAAAAGACAAAAAATAAAAATAAAAATCACTGAATGGATTGGAAACAAGTATATTTAATTATGTGACAAACTGACACTCTGAAAAGACTCTCAGAGGACTAATCAACTTGCAAGATAATCCATCCAAATCTTTTTCTTTTTTTAAGAATGCCTGCCACATAAAACTAAATGAAATAAAGGGAAAGTGTCTTCGACACCCACTGAGCACATTCCACATTGAACAGCCTTTCAGAGTACACTTCAAACAGCACAGTCAGCAATGCACGTGTGAACAAATCAAAGAGAATAACGGCAACAACTTTTGGAAAAAGGAAGCAACTATTTGCGCCACAATTCAGTTGACAAATCATGTCATCCAGGACATAAGTTTGAAGTCATCTCTGTTTATTCACAACACTTGAGATGACAACACGTAGGCATTCACACTCCAGAAAATATTTTTGCGATAAGGATATCTGAACATTGCACAGATGTAACAGTGTGTCGCGACCTGCAAAACATAGACAGTTAGTGGATCTTTATTGTCAAATGTCGCCCGAGTGAAAAGAACTCAACAGAGCTACCCTAAAATACACACCAGGATGAACAAAAACGCTCCCAGTGAGCAACACTAACTCCTCTTTTTGGAGTCTTCAGCAACAGATAAGAGCATCTGAAAGTCTGACGAGGTCTGATGCGGCGTTATAAATGGGCTGTAAATAAACTGAAAGAGAATGTTGCAGATGATCTTTTTTTAATTTCTTTTTTTTCTTTTTTTTTTTAAACTTACTCAGGACCCATGACATGCATGCTTTTTTGGTCTCTTTCCCTAAACATCCACATGGCTGAATGATTTCTTGCCGGTCCTTCATAGATGATGGCAGTAAACTTGATCGTTGAAATCTACTCCCTGCATTCTGTCTGTCAGATTGTGTCAAGTCATAGAGGTGAGAAACAGACCGTTGTTGTGGGGGAATAACAGCAAAACAATCCACTGAAGTCTTCATATTTGCATGGTGGATGGAAGAAATAACTAATCTTTTTGTTTGCTTTTAAAACAAAAATAATAATTAAAAGTGTTGTTTATGTGCGATTAAGCAAAAGATCAGAAGACCCCTGTGCAGAAGGCATAGTGTTATGAAGCACATTTGCAATATAACAGCATTTCCAACTTCGACTGTGTTAATATAATAACCACCATTTCCACCAAACCGGAAACTCTGGCTCACACAGTTGGACTTCCCACGTTTCCATCGGTGATTTTTGGAGTCGGTCAGGACAGAGGCGGCCGTAAGGCCACGGTGGACTGTGCTGGGCTGGTCGTGGAACAGAAGCCCGGGGGAGAAAAAGGAAGGTGAAGTACGGTTTGAAAGCACAGTCCTACAGCTCAGTGCACACACGCGCGCCCAGGACAGGCGGCGAGCTGGCGACCGCAGGGCACACCGCCCCTCTCAGGGCTCCATGACAGGATGTAGTATGGATGCAAGGTGAGTCAAGAGCACACCGACGGGACATCAACCTTTGTCCAATCTCCAAAAGAGAGCTCCAGATGTGTCTCTTTGTCCCCCTCTGGTGGATTTTGTCCAGAAAGAATCACTTTTTCCTTCACACACACACACACACAGACATACACGCACACAAATATGGGCTGCCTTCTCTCTCACCCCCCCGTGTCAGTAATCAGGCTTATCTGGTGTAGTAGACTCTGTAGTAAACACTCTTGGAGCGCCAGAGGGAATAGGAGTTGTCAAACTTGAGCAGGTAGACTCCGCGGCCGGGGTACTGGTGGCTGCCGGCGTACACCTCCTCGTGACAGTCCCGCCGGTAAACCGGCACAATCTCATCCACCTGCGGCTTCCCTGCCTCCTTCTTTGCCTTCTCCTCCTCAGTGGGGGGGTCACCTGTGTGCAGCGAGTCAATTTTCACACACACATAACACACATTTTGTTCCTTTTTGGGGTTTTTTTTTTTAAACTAGCTGCAGCTCACATCAGGAGCAGAGGGAAATGTCCCTCTGACCCGAGTCTCTAACGCACGTCCCTCCCACTAACCGCTCACCTTCTTCGTCATCGTCCTCGTCACTGGACTCCGAAACGTGCACGCTGACCGAGGCAGAGGCAGCGTCTGTCCACTCAAAGAGCACCCCGAAGCCGATGTCATAATAGTCTGTGGCGAACTCCCAGAACAGGTAAGATCCCTCCTCGTGCGTGGGAACGCGCACCGTGACCACCTCGCCACGGCCCACCGTGATCACACTGTCGGCGTCCTGCCGGATCTTTTCCTTGAAGTCCTTGATCTGTGGCCGTGTCCACATGGAGGGAGCAGCTATCACTGGCTGGGAGTCTGCTGTGGGATCGAGGGACAAAGGCCACTCAGCAATCTGCTGCAGAAATCTGCTAATGCAACCTGCAGGTCAAGCTTTCCCATTGGAGAGTAAGTCCTAGATTTGCCTAAAAATAAATATGTGTTTGTTTGTGTGTGTGTTTAGTTCGATGAAATTGCATGGCACAAGTAATGTAATTGATGGCAAATATCAGTTTTTTTCTGTTTTAAACACTGACAACCCCATAATCTCCCATCTTTTACTATTTGTGTAGCTTGTTCCACCTCTTCCTGCTGCCCTCCAGGTCACATCAACAAGGACACAGCAGACGAGCATCAGGTTTCAGCTTTGGCACAGAGCTTTGTTTAACAGAGTATCCCCTTTCTCCCCCCACAGCCAGAAGCTGCACAACAACAGAAAAATGTGTATCTTTCTGCCCAATGTAAGCTCCAGCTCACCAACCTAATAAAGGCCCGTTCTCAGACACCTCCTCTGCAGGCTCGGGCTCAGGCTCCCGGTCCATGCTCTCCGAGTAAGAATCCGACTGGCCTCCGTTGACCGTGGGAGCTTCCTCGCTAGCCAGTGGAGAGGCAGAACACAACGGTGGTGCTGAGGCGGGGATGGGCTCCCCGCTGTTGAAGCTGCTAGATTCTACAGTGCCCTGCACCACGGAATCCGCCTGCTGCTGCTTCTGTAAGGCCGCCTAGGACAAGAGGAGGATGGTATAAGGGCGAAATCATTGACCAAGGAAGCCGTTTAGGACACGTGGATAAAATAAGCGCAGAGTTCTGCAAAACCAGAATCAATTTACCGGTACAGTCTATTTATGCTCAATACTGACCTCGCCATTTACGTTTCCCAGTTTCTACTGTACATTAACAGTCAAGTCTTTTTTAAAAAAATCACACATTTACATCCCCAGAAATATTTGTAATAGTGAACGGATGAACTAAAAACTGGACGCCCCACCTGCTGCTGGGCCAGCTGGACCTGGTACAGCTGCTGCATGTACTGTTGGTAGTGCTGCTCCTGGAGCTGACGGATGAGGCCCAGCTGCTGCTCGGGGCTGTTGGGGTACTGCTGCGCTGCATACTGCTGGAACTGCACCGCCGTCTGGGCGTTCAATGCCGCCATGATCTGCTGCCTGGTTCAAGTGACACAGAGGTCCCATTAGCGTGCATGGGCACAGAGGTGAGGCTCACTAAAGCTCTCTTTAAGGGTAGAAAAAAATGATGACACTGCAAATGTCACAGATGATAATGCGGACGCCACATAGAAGACTAAACAAACACTGTGTAGGCAGTGACTTTGCTCAGCACACTTACTTCTGCTGTTCGATACGTAATCTCTCCTCCTCCGCCTGTCTCCTCTCCTCTTCTTCTATTCTCAGCCTTTCCTCCTCCTCGAGCCGTCGTCTCTCTTCCTCCTGCCTTTGTCGCTCCCTTTCCTCCTCCTCGAGCCTCAGACGCTCCTCCTCTTCTTTCCTGAAGAAGGCGTGAGGACCAAAAGAAGCACATTAACCTATACAACAAAACTAGTGAAATCTGTGCCCATGTCCAGCTATCAAGTAAGACAGAGAAACTGATTTTTATAGCCAGCCCAAACCAGATATGGTTTCAAAGCATTGCTGACAGGTGAGAGGGGGTCTCCATAAAGGGAACAAAAACCAAACCCCCTTACCTTTTCCTCTCCTGTTCCTCCCTTTCAATCTTGTGTGACGTTACAAAGGGAGCAAAGAGATTACAGCACTTGTTGAGTAACTTGACAAACTCCACCATGGCCTCCTCCTTCTCCATGTTCCCTAGGGAGGCCCATTCTTTCCTGAAAAGAGAGGAAGTTGGAGGTAAAGTTTTCCAGCATAATTAAACTACAACGTTTTAAAATCCATTGAAATGTCATTCAGAACATAGAAGTTGAAAATGAATAGGCCTTGAGTACACTGCAGTGATATAGGCCACTGTCCATTAAAGGATTTAGTCGATTTAAGGCCAAGGATCTTAGAGGCCTTCGTTAAGAGTTAAATGGGTTCAAAGAACAGTTAAGTGGATAAAAATTGGTCGTTTTTATTCCCTTACACACAGCAATGAAAACCCAACTATTTAATCCACCCTCACAGATGAGAGTAAAGTCGATTGCTGGTGTTACCTGCGATCGTTGCCAAGGACATCAAAGAAGCCGACCTCTGGAGAAGCATCAGGATTATAAGGGCCAAGTAACACCTGTTTGTGCAAAGCCACCAGTCGAAGTTTCTCCTCATAAGTTGGATGGAAGGCCTTGCCATCTTTATCTTAAAGCAAGAAACCGGGATAAACTTTATTTAGCATTTATTATTCTTTTAAAGAAACATTCCAATCTACGCTCATCTGGCAAGAAAGGTGTCTAAATACTGAACACAAATCTGTGTGTACAGCAAGAAGGAATCAAACACAGAGGGATTGAATGCATGCCATTGTTAGATGCTAAACAAGGGTAACAATTGTAATCCTTGATGGTGATTTTTAACATTTTAAAATCTGTGTGAAAACATTCAACAAATAAGTGATAAGAGTTCAGCTCGGTCACATGACTCCTTCAGTCAAGGAAAGGCAAGGCTCAATCATGTACAATACACAAGTAAAACACGTAGGCCTAACCCTAACTGACATGACGACAAGAAATACAATGCTGAGATTACGATCCCAGAAAGTTACAACCAGCCACAAACCTGTTTGCACAGTCATAACGAGCTACCAGTCAAACGAAAAGCACTAGAAGCATTTACTTTCAATGAGAGGATCGAAATGAAGCACTTACTTAAACAGTCTGTGTTTTGCTGTACTTTTTTCAGTTATGCGGGGAGCTCTGACCAGTTGCAGAATCATGGGTGTGGTGTTAATATGACGATTAACTTTGGCTGTGAAACACTGTGGCACAACTAGCTATTTCAACAGTGTTGAAAAACATCCGTAAACCGGTTTTATAGTTGATGCACTAAAGCTTTGGACCAGTGTTTAGATTTGTCGGTTTCAGCAAAGCAGAGAAATGTAATTGAACAAAAGCAACAGAAAAAAATTCAACCTCGGTGGAAACAGCGGCTGGGCGTGTTTAAAGCTCCCAAACAAATCATCGTAAGCCACCACTTCGTTAGCATGGATAGCTTCTTGCTTCACGAGAAGAAGGGGGGGGTTGCTTGACTAGGTATTTTAATTAAAATCCAGATAAATGATTAAACATCGAGAAGTCACATGAGTAAAACACAAACAACAAAATGAAATTGACTACTTAGAGGCACAGTGTTCCTTACACTGCTTAACAGACAGCTAACAGGCTCGCTAGCGCCGTTGGATCCTGATTAGCTTAGAAGCTAATACACTACTGCTGGTGACAGCGGCAGAGCAGGCTGTGACAGCTAGCAGCTAATGCTAGCAACCTGCTAATTACACTTAAGGAGCGCCTGTTCTTAAAATCTAAAACCAACTCTCTCTTTTTCCGCTTAAAGGCGATGGCGTTAATAGAAGTGTAAAATACCTTTGAAAAATTTAAGGGCCAGTGCGTACAGCTCCTGCAAAGGAAAGCCCCAATTGCTCTCTATCGCATATTTGGCAGTCTCTCCATCTTCGCCCCCATCGGCACCCGGCTTCTCGTTCCCAGGTTCCGAGGGTGCGGGGTCCGGCTCTGACACCGGGCTCTGCTCGCCCTCCGGATCTGGACTGAGGGTGAGGCCATCGATGGAAACTTCGAGCCGGCTGGACGTAGCGCTGTCGAGGTCGCCGCTCTGAACCTCTGTCGCCATCATGTAGACTGTCAGCTGAAGCAGCCACGTACCTACTTCCGCTCAGAGTAACAGGAAGTTCCGCTCACTTTTCCACCCAGCGGTGTAAATAATGACGACGCTTTAAGCCATATTTATATCATACATACCCGTTGTAAAATGGATTAAAGCAAACGCATCTATGTTGTGGCAGCGGCTACAATGAACCACTCAAACAAACACAAAAAGATAGAAACATGAAAGCTGAATCCGTAATGATACAGCTTTTTGGAAATGAATACTAACCGAAGAGTCTATCATAACCATGTGCCCAGTTAGATTGAGAATCAGGGGTTTCCTGGTGTGAGAACATAAAAACATTCCCAAATGAGAAAATATATAGATGATGAGGTGCAAAATTTCCACAAAGAGAGTAAAAATACCACATTTAATTAAAGTGACGAGATAGTACAACTCTGAAAGGAGATACCCCAAAAACACCAACAAAGAAGCAGGGACCTACCATGATGTTAACACTAAACAAACTAACCACAAAAAGGTATTTAGCAAACAGCTTCTAAAGATACTAAACGTCCAAAACATGTGCATTCTTTTGACAAATATGTTAAAGAAGCCACCAATTCTTTAGTGTTTAATGTGATTATGCAGCCAAGAGATGCCCACAGTGAGTAAGTTCACATTTCTGTGCAATTTATTAATCCAACAAATAGCACAAAGGAGAACAAATACAATTCCTGTATTACGCATAGACGTTTATCATTACCATAATAATGGAAGGATTTTTCTTTAGGGTAACAGAAAATATGAATGATATCTTAACAAAAGCTGAAGTTTTATTTTTCGTTGGGCATACAATTACATCAGGAACTTTTAAATAATCTAAGCTTCTCAAAATTCCTCTCAAATACACAAAGGTTACACCAAATACCAGGACCTTTTAGACAACTAACATTTTAACATATCTCTGTCAACTTGTGAGGATCATTTACGCGTCTGTCTCTGGAATAAATGCATAGTGGCTGTGTCAAACTGTTGGTCATTTGGTCTTTAAGGTGTGAACCTGCTTTTGTTTTTGGATTCAGACGCAGTTCCCCACTGGAAATGGCTACAGTCAAATTCCTGGATGCCTTTACTGTTTGAAGTGCAGCTCTCTCAGCTGTCGGAAGTTATTTAAACACTGACATTTTGAGCTCCACAACTGGCTACAAAGTTATGAATGAACAAAAGCTTCAAGCAAGAGTAAATACATTCTTCTGATATTATGTTTCTATTTTGTCCAGACCTTACTCCACACATTGCTACATAAGGAATTTTGCTTTTATGAGCCAGAAGCTTTCAATAGAACTGTCAATGACTGGCACAAAAGTCCAGGAGCTTCAGCAACCTGATTTTAGCTTAGCAATCTGATCCGTGTTCATGGGCAATACCCAATTAGAGAGGATCCAGTGAACTGTGATTGTCTTGGCTGACAAGCACATCATAACTGAACAGAGCAGAAATTGTTCAAATGCAGATGCTGATGTGAAAACATACAACAGCTAGATGTCATTTACTTAATTGGCACAAAATTGTTGCTATTTTCTCTCAAATGAAATAAAACATGTCATGGAATAACTTCATGATTCCTACATATGAAGTTTGTAGGAATACTGTATATTTAAAGATGAGATACCTTTTAGACGCAAGATTAATTCGATCATCCCCAGAAAAAAAATAACATGAGGCACAAAACCTGATGTGTTCATATCTAAGCACAAAGAAAATGAATGACAGGATAATAGGAACTGTTATGAAATGGGACCAAAAGAAAGCTAATTCTGCCAATCTTGTCCAAATACATGGAAACAAATTAGCCTGTCTGGAGTGCAACCTGAACTCTTGACTTGATCCCCCTCTGACACAAACGCAAGGGGCCCGTTTAATCATAAGTACCCACACACCTACACTACTTTTGAACCAAGCTTTGTGTATTGAGATTGACTTTGTTGCCAATGAAAGGTGACAGGAAGCATTATTTCCTCCTAATTGTGGATCGGTGATGTGAAGCCTTTCCTGGAAGACATTTCTCCCCCCATGACATATCGTTTAATTTGTCTTATGACTGACCAATATTAATACAGCAAGAGTAAAAGGCCTCATGTCATATATGGAAGACTCCATAAACAAGAAATATGTGCATTTTTGTTCATATCTTTTAATATTCAGCACAGCCTCTCCTAACACCATGGTTGTGTTAGGGTTGATAGGATCTTTTGTGGTCACCTCAAATAGGCTGGCTGATCTGATTTGAGACATTTTACCCCAAAACTCGAGTTTAGTCATATCTAATCAAAACCAGAGGATGGGCTCTATTGGTTCTGCACAGTAGTTGAGTTTTATCTTTCTATCTATATAGATAGGGGACATATAGACCCTTTCTGTTCAGCTACAGAGGCATACTTAAACCCTTTGAACTTCTGCCCTCAAGTTGGGAAAATTTCCGTTGAGACCGTTTCCGACTGTCTCCCTTTGAAGGCTACCGGTTCATTATTGCTTCTTCCATCCCAAAGCGGATAAATGTTTTTTCTGCCTATGTGTATTGAGCGCGCAAGCTTCCATTAGAACCGCTTTTTAAACGGACCCGCGGCCGCTCCACCGTCCCAGGTGTCACGGCTTCACACCTCCGGGCGCCTGCAGACGTCTGAAGTCGCTGCACGGCCGCGGCAGTGCCAGCCGACAACGATGGCCCCCCCATTCACACGTCCACCCAGCACCACCTTTGATCGCGGGAGGATTTAATTGCGGAGAGCAAACAGCTCTCAGCTCAGTCGGCCGCCGGGGATAAGACGCAGAGGATCATGTCCGCAGTCCATGGCAATATGCGCGTCGGGGATTTGGGTCACTTCCAGATGTTTCGCGAGGGGCCTCCACAAATGAGCGGCGTGGGGAACACAGGTTAGTGTTTGGCGTTTTGTTCTTGTACTTCGAGATTCGGTGTGGTGGGACTGGTCAAGCCAAAAAGCGCAGCTGGGTACGTGCGCACTTTACGCATAGGTTCGATGCCACGTTTGAGGCGTAACGTTGAGTTCTCCTCTCCTTTTAGATTATGGGGCCCCAGATGTTACCAACTACTTCAGCTCCTCCAACTCTGTTCCGAGGACGGACAAATGCGTGGCCATTCTAACCCACAGAAGAAAGAGGACCAATTTTACCCAACAGCAAATCGAGGTGCTGGAGAAAGTTTACTCCGACACCAAATATCCTGACATCTATCTCAGAGAGAGACTGGAAGCTCTAACGGGGCTGCCAGAGTCCAGAATTCAGGTAAAAGCCGTTTTTGAGTGTGTACTACTAATGCAGTTACAATCAATAGAAATGAGTTACTGTGTTTAGAAAGATATGTCTATGCATGCTCCTATCAGTAATATGTCGCCTCATAAACTGCATTTTCTAATTGAATGTCGTGATTCAGGTGTGGTTTCAGAACAGAAGGGCCAAGTCTCGTCGTCAGGTTGGTTCCTCAGCGTCCATGAAGTTCTCTAACACGCCAGCAGGCGGCCCCTTCGGCCAGCACCAGAACCTCATGGCTCCAGAGAAAGGTAGCTGCTGGCCTCGCCTTTACGTTCACTTTCTTTTTTACTCTCGCTCATCCTATGACTATTCCCAAGTTGAATTTTGATCCTTCAAGTTAGTTTTGTATGAAGGCCTTTTGCCCCGGAAAGGAGATGAGTTAAAGATCAAAAAAGCTCAACTTTTCTCGGTGTTTCCAGCATAACTTGACGTAAAACCACTCTTCGTTCTTCTTCTTTCAGTTCATGACAGCAGCAATGGAGCAGAGGTCCACAGGACAGGAACCTTTGGACTAGAAGATCATTTCAGGGCGACAATGCATCAAAGCACAAAGGACTCTCACCGGACCAGCGGTCTGACCAAAACCGGCAGCTATGACCACACATCCTCCTCCTGCATCTACGAGGAGAAGGGACCCATAGGGGCGACCGACAGGATGCAGCAACACAAGCCTCGTGTGACCGCCCCGAGCCCTAACGTCCAGCTCTATCCCCACGAAAATGACCAGCACGCCAAGATGGAAGGCAGAGCGTCGGGCAGCCAGGGCCCGAAAGTACTAGTGGAGTACGACAACTTCCCACCAAATAAGACTATAGGACCAGAGATGAAAGTAGTGATTCCTCCCATCCCAACACAGAATAACTTCAATAGATCGTCACCAAAGGAAAATGGATGCCAAATGCAGTACCCACAACTGAGGGCCACAGGGGAGAGGTTCGGTCACTTTTCTCCGATCGCCCCCTCAGAGCCACAAGATATCACAGACTCTGATTCTGACTGGGAAAATGAGGCCATGGCCAGTTTTGGTGGCTTTATGTGATGTGTAATAAGAGGTAATTTAAAGAAGCTAGGTGTATAATAAAACTCATGAAATTTTGTATTTATTGGAAAATAGTAATTATATCACTGGCTTATTGGAAAAACTTAAATCAAACTGTTTTATTTGTATTGTCTGAAGCAAATAAAGATGGATGCCAAAAATCATGTTGTAATATTTTGTTTAATATAAAAAGAGGGAAACATTTATATACAATTGCCCTGAGGCACTCTCATATACAACTTTACAAAACTGAAAAAGGAGATTCTCTAGGAAAAAAACGATGACTTGAGTATTTTAAGGTTGCATCTGTGATGCAGGCTCTCTCTGTGGGGGTTGCAGCAACAGCCATGACAAATGTAGTAATGCTAACATCTTAGGGAGTAAAAGGCATCATAACCCCAGAGTTCTCCTTTATAAAAAAATACCAAAATCTCTTTTCAGTGCACAGAAAATTACAAAAGCCATTTCTGAATACACAGAAATGTTAATATTCCTAATAATCAGAGGTATTGTACAATTATCTACAATAAACAATTTTATAAAACATTCTTTAGCTTCCCCTGCTCTTACCATCAGTGGAGCAACACAACATAACACTTACAGGGGGAAATGTAAGAAATAGCAAAATATTGTTCCATAACCATACACACCTACGCAAAAATAAATAAATATGCACTATAAAAACTGTTAGAATCAATGTTTGGCACATGAAACCAATAAATAACTAGCTGTGAGATTTGAGATGTGGATTGTGACAATGGCTAAAGACTGTTTCAGGTTTATGTTCAGGTGGCTGCACAAACATTTTCTTACTATAAAATGTGTGAGTAAAAGTTTCGACATCGCTCTTTGCAGATCGATGCCTCAGGAACCCGGGAAGAGCCTGGTCCAGATTCAGGCTGGACGATGGTGATCCACAACATCAACATGAACTTTTTCTTTATTGTTGTCTTGACGGTTCAGGCGAAAGCACCGTTTCAAAATATACCATCAACGTCCCGTCAGTGTCCCACAATCCTGTGTGTGTGTGTGCGCGTGTGTGTGTGCACCTGTGTGTGAAGGACGGTGCAGGTACTCAGACTGCATTGGTGTTATTGGCAGCAAAAGCGTGCAGATTGCCCAGCTGACTCAGACCACTCTGGATGTGTGCCACGTGGATCTCAACATTATTCTGAAAGCAACTGGAAATACAGGAAAGAAAAAGGCTCAGGAATGTTTTTCACGTTTTATGACAATGAAATTAATGTTCATTAAATCAGTTTTGGAGTTTTAAAAAATAAAAAGGAACAACAAAGGAAAAAGCAAATAACCCAAAAATTCTCCCTCTTCTTCTTAGTTGGAGTGTAGCTAAAAGAGTGGATGGAAATCCCTGAGGGTGTCTTACCTGAGGTTTGAGGGATCAATGGACGCTTTGATGTCATTAAGGGAGTCTGTTAGAGATTTAAACTCAAATGAATTCAGATCTCCACCATCTGCCAGACACTAAAAAAAAAAAAAACAGAAGATGTTACACATGAGAGGAAGTCAAAGCACAAAAACATATGAGAATGTGTTGACTTCTCTACCTTTATCTGTAGGAGAAGGGCTGTAAGGCGGGAGATGAGGTGTGTGAGGCTGGGATTGGTCACACTCTGCTGTCCATCCCTCTGGGAGTTGGTCAGCTGCACCATCTGCTGGGCCTCCTCCTCACAGCGCCGCCGCAGCTCTGTGGGGTGGTCGGCTGGGACCATGCCCTGATCTGGGGCGAGCTGTTAAGATGAGCACGATCGGTACAGAAGGGCAAAAATACAGGTTTTCTTTTTTTTGGGGGGTTTTAAACCGGGCCTAGTCTAAAAAATAAATCCCAGAAACAAAGCATGCTTGGTAGAAAAGAGGATCCTTTGACTTACATCACAGCAGAACTGCTGAACTTCATGAAGCACTTTGTTCAGGTCTTTATTAAGCTGCTCCAGTTCCAGCACGATGGTAGCGTACCGCTTCTGAAATTCGTGGTCAATCGGCATGGAATACGACTTCTGCACACAAGAAACATAAAAGTCATGAAGAAAAGCCAATTGTGGGGATCTCAGAGTGATTCATTGTGTTTTGATTAACTTTTAGTTTAGACTATACCAGTTTCTCAGCCTCTGTGTTCAATTCTTTTAAGTGCTTGATGTGCTCTTTTTTTATCATGAGGATTCGGGATAACCTTGTCTAAAAGTAGAAAAAAAAAATCATGAGTAAGAAAAGTAAGAACAATTGTTTAGTTTTAATTTAATTTGTTAGGAGTAACGTACAACTTGGACCAGGAATTTAACAGGAAATCCTCCCAGTGTATCTTCCTCAGAACCGGGCAGTTTGCTCCTCCATGGCGACTGGTTCATGAGGGAATCGTTGTCCTGCTTTTAAAACGACATCAAGTAAAAAAGGCTCTCATTACAAGCAAGCCACTGCACATGGCTAATTTTTTTTTATCTTTTCTTTGTTTTTATCTTAGCAGAGATGAGGAACTCAAGGTTCAGCTGTTCAAATCATCATATGCATTTAAATGTTCCCGTTCAGTCTTTAACTTGTGTGCTCAACATCTGACGTTAGAGGTAGTTAAATGGTACCATGTGGACAGGAGTGGTAGCGGACGGGTAGGGCCCTCTGGGTGGAGTCATGAGGCTCTGCGTGTAGCGTGTTGACCGATGCTTCTGTGCGAACGCTGAGATGGGCATAGTTTCATTCGGTTCATTGCTCTGGAAAAAAAACATTTTCATTCCTTGAGAGTGTTCTGAAATCCATTTCACACTTGAAGTGGTGTTTTATTTGTTAAAGCAACAGAATCGCCCAGAAATGGGTATAAGAGGAACAAAGCAGGTCGTGGGCATACCAAGACTTCATAATCAGGCACTGTGTGAGTTCCCAGGCCACTGCGGTCGAAGGTGACTCGATAAGTGGCAGCGCTGGTGTCGACTGCATCAATCTGCCCCGTGAACAGCCCATCATGGACACCTCGCAGTCGTGCTGTTGGACGAGAGACAAACAAACATATAATTCTTCATCTTTCTGTGTTTAAATTTAACTTTGGTTAAAAAAATGTTTTACCGGAAACACAAGCTTCACCCATCACCCTTTTGTTTAAAGAAGCTAAACTAAGGGTTTTTAAATCTTTGCATTTCTATTTGTGTAGACAAAGATTAAAAAAGAAAAGAAAAGTTCCTGCTGTTGGATTGAGCAGCAGTTATTTTTTATCATAGAAAGCAACCCATCTGCAACGAAGCTACTCAACTAACACTGACACTCGAGTAATTTGAGTCACAGATGGATGTTGATCTCAGATATCTTACCGGTGACTTTGGTTCCGATGATGAGGGGTAAAGGTATTTCATCAGGAAGGTCTTTGCAGGTTGAAACATCAGAAAGTTTTCTCTGCTGCAACAGACGCATTTTCATCCGCTTCAGTCTTAGCGCCGTTCGCTCTTCAGCAAAGAATGCGGAGGAGCACCTGAAAGGAACGACACAACACTAACATTAGTTCTTCTGGTTCCTGCATAAAAATAAAAAACTAAGAAGAAAACATTTTAAGAATAAAGTCTACAGATTAAATACCGTCGGGGTTTCCCCATCAGTCTCCTGATTGTTCCCCACTCAACTCTTGTCAGTTTTCTTGTTTTTAAGTTGGGAAAAGACTCCTTGAGGCACAGACAGAATTCGTTGTCACCCTCAAAAAGAGGTCTGAGGAAGAATGAACAAGAAATTAGATATATGCAGAGGGAATTTTAGCAAAATCGCAAGATTAAACAAATCAGATAGCAAAACAAATGTGAGAATACTTTATGATGACAGGGATAATTTTTTTGCCATTTCAAGTCAATTAAATGTACTAAAATCAGTGACAAACAAAGCAGCCCTCTGAAGTAAATGACACTTTATTCTTCTATTATTTGTTTATGGTGGTGAAAGTCAGACATTACCTGTCAATATTGGAATAGAACCATTCATAGATGCACCATTTGTGGGCTTTGGGAAGCTTAAGAAGGTTTCTTAACCTCAGTCCTATTTTCTGGGACGCCTTCTTATCTGGTGTCATAACATTAGAAAACTTCTGCAACGACAATCAGAAAACAACAGTGATTCAATATGTGAACCTATAACTACTTAATAAAACAATAAATACATTAATTAAACAAACTTTTCTCAGTAGGCTAAATTATAATGTATTTATTCTGCAGCGCAACAATAAAGATGCCAGTTTCCACAAATTATCACTGACATCTTTAGTGGGGATGCTATAAAATCATAACTGAGGAGGCTAAAAGGCTTTCCAGTGTACCTCTTTGGCTTTGAAGAGCTTTCCCAAAAGCAGAGAAGTAGAATTACGGCACTGTAATTATGAAATTATTCCACTGTAAAATGGTTACTTTTATATCACAGTGTAGCAGCTTTAGATTATTTTCTTATAGGTTATTTTTTATTAGTAATTACTTCTACCTGTGCAAAAGAAACAATTTGCCCTGCTGACTAAGCAAACCACTAGTAGACTTTGACCATCTCTGGTATGAAATAAACCACCATGTCAACATCATAATATGGCTAAAGGTAGCTGTATAAATAAAGGCTGTCCTTTATGAACTGGATACAGCAAAGATTAAAGACACCTCTTGTTTTTTCTTGGTGAAAAAAAACAAAAAACAAACAAAAACAGCGTGAGTTAATTAATGGCTTTTTATGACTTTTATGACTAAAGCAATTTGAGAAGGAAGTTCCCATTTCCCTTGTGTAACCATCACTTGGTCAGCAGTTTTCACCTGTGGTGTGGTGGTGACCCTCTGGCTCCTCCGAGGGGATCTGGAAGACAGACGCTGCTGGGGTGGTTCATCGTCATCCCGAAACAAACGGCTCCTCTTTGAGCTCCGGGTGGGCTGATGGAGCAAGTGCAAGGTTTCTTAATAATCATCTTCACATAAAAGGTTTCAAAACAGTCTCCAAAACCCTGAGGCTTTTCCAAACCTAAAACTATTGTTATGTTTATATGAAAAAACAAAATGGCAAAAGAAATAATAATAATAAGTAGAAAATATAAAGAAGCCGTAGATTTCCAAATGTTCCTAGATATCCTGATCACCATCTAATGAAGTTCTGCATCTTGGGGTAGCTGTTTTTACTCTACCATTTCATAGGAGAGCATTTTCTATCCAAGCCTTTGTAAAATGTTGTATATTGTAATCTTAGCTTCAATATGACCTGTCAAAGAAAATATCTAAAAGGCTAATTCATTCTGATGTGCATGTCATGCAGGAAGTCTACTTTACTACTTTACTAAGACTACTTTATGAAGATGAAATAGCCACTTTTACTTTCTTTAACAATTAGTCCTTATACTGATGCTAAACTAAATTATCATCTCAAGAGTTACATGTTGAAAACATTAACAGAAGCTCCTTCCCACATACAAATTATTTTACTATCACCATGAAACGTACCGTATCCATTGTAACAGAAGAGTGTCGTCCCCTGGTGTTGTGAGCTCTTGGGAAGCTGTTCTTTTCATTCAGGGTGTTGGATAAACTGCCCTCTATAAGGTAACCAGTGGGTTTGTTCAAAATAATGTTGGTACTGAAGATGCAAGAGCTGGTTTACCAACTCACAAAAAAAGTAAGTATTTTCTAATAAATTAACAAAACCGCAATCAAATAATAATCCAACATTCTATTCCTTTGTATATTGGACCGCATATTACACAAAACTTCCCATTGTGTTTGCAGTAAGCTTGTCATTATGGGTGTAATACACATCTTTAATCCTGTGAAGGACTTACAGGGGCTGACTACTTAGGCCAATAATGTGTGTGATCCAGCACACATGGACACACAATCCAAACCAGACAAATTCCCGCACTAACTAATGATCAAGCACTAAAGGAATACAAGTAAAGTTCACAAGGACTTCTGTATTCGTGAATAGTTAGGAAATACAACTCAAATAGGATTAAAAAAGAAGTAAACACATACCTTTTAGACTGACGAGTGCCTCGGCTGAGGAGCCTGAGAAAGACAATAATACAAATTCGGGTTACATCCATATCTAATATGAAATTCTTGGCAAAAGAAAAACAAAGACTGAGAAAAAGGCATTTGCGCTCTGACAAGGCCCTAATATCGTTTGTAGTATTAATTCTACGTTTATCCCAGTTAAGAGAATATGTAAAACGGCCCTTTTAACAGTAACAGAAGCTAGACAGGTTGGAAACAGCGAACCAAGTCGACGAGGCCTTAACCCTGACGTTGAGCTGTCAAGCTCGGGTGTTACACCACTTTGACGTAAAATACTGAACACAAACGCTAAACCAGCTCATGTTTCAATGCCGTACAGCCATATTGTAGTAACGAACTAGATTACTTACGGTCCGATCGATAATTTCGGGTTTAACTATGAACTAACTTTGATGGTTACCCTTCACCAGCTTGTCAAAACCATACACAACGTGTAACCATGTAACGAGAACATGTCTTAAACATAAAAAGTGTCAAGAAAAAATAAACTATGCACAATTAAACAGATAAGCATCTATAAGCTAGCAACGTTGTACGGCACTCCTTTTGTTATTGTTGCTCTCGACCTGGGGTTAGCAGACGCTAGCTCATAGCTAAGCTAACGGCATTTGTTTACCCAGTTGAGCTAAAGTAACTTGTTCAACTCCATCATTAGCTATGGTTAGCCTCTTCAGCTAACAAGCGTTAGCTGACTTGCGCAAACCGGTGTCTCTTCGCGTCTAAAAATGGCTTTATGGAGTCTACTCAAAATGTGCATTATCGGTAACATACAGAGTAGCATCAGTGTTTAAATCGTTGTTCAAGTTATTACCAGAGAACCACTGTATGTTTACGTAGTAAAACTCATTGAATTTGTGTTGTTACTCACTCTCGTCTAACAGCTGGTCCATCTCCGCCATCTTGAATTAGCCGCGCCGCTTTTCAAAGACCTTGTCAAAATGCATTCTGGGTCGGAAATCTGTCTGGAGGGCGATTTGAGAAATAAACTATCTAAAATTTGTCAAGTAAATGGTCTCCGAGACGCATGGATTATATCAGTTGAACGTCTTCTAATGTCAAAGTGTTTCCGGATGCGATTGGAACAAATGTTTGATGTAAAAAGGCCCGTTTATCCCTCAACAACCGTCCTGTTACAGGTGCACTGCATAGTTGTGTTACTTTTTGTTAACCAAATCCAAATTTGGGCAAAACTAACACGATTGAACATATTTGTATTGCTGTGAGTTAACCAGCCTTTAACAAGACTTATGTAGGTTAGAGCAAATCCTTATTAAAACATTTACAATAGTTTAACTTTATTAAATCTTGAAGCAAATATCAAAATAAAAAAAGAACGCAAACCGGCAGTTTGGCTTATGTTATGACATGGTTGGAAGTAGTTCCCTTTATTTTAACTTAGAACTATGGCACCTAAGTAGTAGAAAAGTAATAGAATCCTATTTGAGTGAACAAAGACAGAATCAGGATGGAATTCTCAAGATCCCTCTCAGTTCTCAAACAGAGCTTTGAATCCGTTGATTAGCTTGCAAAGTGAAAAAATAAAGCGTATTACTTAGAGGAGCAAATTTGCAATGCAAAATGAAAACCATTGGTGTGGACAAAACATGTAGAGCAAGAAATCAAAATGACAAAATAATCAGTATGCCCCTTTGTTTTATTGCGTTTGAGATAATCCAAAAATAAAAGACTAAGAAAAGAGAACAAAAGAAATGGCATGGCAGTTTTTTTCCTGGAATTTCAGTGAGGAAGACATCTTGAGACACAAACAGAAAAAAAACACAAATATTTACATGTCACACCTTGAACAGTATTTTCATACCCAACAGTCTAAAACAAACAGGTATTTTAGTGGATATATCCTGAAGGTACCCTAATCAAATCTATGGAGTAGTACATGTATCTTTGTAGATTGGCTGCTCTTAAGTCAGCTCTTAAGCAGTAATTTGCCCTATCAATGAGATACTTTTTAAAGAATGAAGCATTACTACTAAAGTCTGCCTGCTAATGGACCTGATCAAACAGCAGTAAAGTGACAAAACATTTCAAATGACCAACGTAAAACGCAGTGCAGCATCACCCTTGTTCACATCTTGCTGCAGAGAATCATGCCCAGCCATTTGGAGGCAACAACGGTCTTCTTCCTTTTTCTTCTGTAACGGGCTGCGGTGCAACGGCTTTCACCACAGGGATGTCTTGTAGTCAAACTTGATCTTCAAGAGATACTTCATGTTTATCTGTGATACATCATACACAATGTACCTGGAGGAGCATCGGTTAAGGAAAACACAGATGACATGAACAAATGGGAGTGACAATACGGGATCTAAGGGATCCTAGAACTGTCACTTTTGGACAAAACCATTCTAAAGATGTGCAGACATTTCAATTATACAATAAAAGTTAAAACATTTAAAAAAAAGCCTCCAATATTCTGAGCAGATTCAATAAATCAATAATTAAGGTGTGAAATCAGCATAGCAATTTAAAAATCATTTGGAAAAGAAGGAAAATATTGAGTAAACTTTTTAGCATAAAAGTATTACAATCAACATAAATAAAGTAATATTGGTTGAAGGATACTCGTTGTACAGCAGACTCGTGTCATCAATGTTGGTGTGGGCTCCTTTTCCCAGAGGCACTTGCACCCCATTCAGAGTGGCGGTAGCACTTGGTTCAGGGGCGGTTCGACCCAAACCTGTCAAGAGAAAAGAACTTGAAAAATGAAAAAAAACTGAAATAACAACAAGCGGATCATTCAACAAATACACCAACGTAATAGGACAGATTAAATCTCCAACTCTTAACATTTAAGAAGAGCCAGTTTCGTTTCTCACCTTTAACACTGTGTTTGCCTTTTGGTAATTTTGTTATGTGCGAGGCCTTTTTCAGCTCATGCCTGCATTCAAAAACACAAATTGCCAAATATTTACTGACTATATCAAGAACAAAATTCAAACAGTTTATAACCACTCAGAAAAAAAAAGCCACTTACATGTTGCCAAGAGCAACCTCTGCCAGCAGTAACAGACCTACAGGGTCTGACTGGGAGGTGTGACAGTAGTTGGCACTCTTGGAGACCATATCAGCAAAGTAAACACCTTTGCCGAACATGTAACCAGTCTGAAAATTAATAGAAGAAAAGCAAAATCAAGTCAGTTAAAAGACAATAAAGCAAGTTTTTCGATACAAAAAGGTAGGATGAGCTAAAAACACTCACCACTGGAGCCTCTGGAGGTGCAATACGAAGACCCTGAGACAGAATTCCAGCATAGTTGGTGGTGCGGGAGCCGTGCCACAACAACTGCCGATTGTGAAGCTCCTCGAAGGGGCGGTACCGTTGGTGCTCTCCCTCTCGGACAATTTTGAAGATCTAACAGTTAAAAAAAAAAATCATATTAAGTGAAAGTAATAAATGGACACAACGGAACCAAATCAGTTCCAATGTATTATCCCAATAAGGCATAATAATAAAACAATTTAATATGGACATTTCTTTGAAACACTTCCTTACTTCTTCCACTTCCAGTGTGTACGTGTTGTGTGTAGCAGCGTGGGTGTTCTTAACGTACTGCAGAATGACCTCAGCCTCCGGAGTGCTCTTGTCAACAACCTGTGGAACAACAAACACATAAGACGTGTTTTTTTTTGTTTTTTTTTTAAGACAATTGTTTATTAGATTCACAAAGTTGTGAAGCTGTACAACTTACCTCAATCTTAGTTTTGAGTTTCTCATAGTTGATGTCGATGGGATCGTTCTCATTGTCCTGAGCTCCTCCTCTCAGCAAGCTGTACGCCACTTCGATGTCCAGCAGGTTGTCTAACATCTGAACTTTAGCCTAAACAGTGATGTATGTCATGTATTTATCAGGCCAACATTTTTAAGTTAGGACCTTTGGACAGTTAGAAGGTATGTACGCATTTACTTGAATGTAATCCAGACTGTTGAGTAGAGGAGGTTTCTTCATGCCGAAGTCATGAGGTATAAGGGTGTAGAAGCGATTGGAGAGATCTAGTATCTGCGCTTCAGGCACGCTTTCGGACACAGCCTGTAACGAAACATGACGAGCGTTAAAGTATTCAACACTGTTAATGGGGAAAAAAGAGACCAATATTCTCTGCAGCACATGTGATGTTAAAAATGTTTAAAAACCAAACAGAGGAGGAAAAGACTGTGCCTGTAATTTAAAGATGGCCTCATCTTGCCTTCTGTCCAGAAAAAAAAAATAACTGGGCACCGTCTACAGTTCATGTTGTCGAGGGTGCAAAACATTGGAATATTTTTGAATTATTGTGTCAAATTCAGGTTGCAATAGGATCCTAACAGAGGGAAACACCCGAGACTGTGTTGAGAGCCCACCTGCTGAACCTCGGTGAGCAGGGCGTACGCACTCTGGATTTGCCTTTTACTCAGCTTGCCAAGAGGCATCTTCTGAAGGTCAATCTGGAGGGAAAAAACGGAAATGAGTTAAGCCATAAATCACATAAATGACATGCAATGCCACTCACTAAATTTATTAAGTTAACCCTGACTGCACTAAAACCGGCTTTGTCAAAAGAATCTCCTCCACACTGCCAGCAGTTGTCACCGCACTGAAAGTTTAAAATACAAAGGGGAAACTAGACTAAAATAAAAAAGACCTCTTACCTCAAACTCGACCATGGCCTTCTTCATGCTCTCTACATCAAAGATCATCTTGATCAGTTCCTGGACGGGTCTGGCCAGCTTCGACTTGGTGCCAGCTGAGGCTGTCAGCCTCTTCACTGCCTCCTCATCCTACCAATAAAGAAGCACATGACTCACTGGGGGATATGCGCTTTCTTCTCTCTTTTCTTTTCTTATTGGTATGCAAATACCTGTCCATAGTCGATCTCTAGCGGGTAGAACTTGTTTGGGTATTTAGTGAAGTTAGAGGAGCTCCAGTCATTTCCTGTCTTCTCCTTGTAGACACTCAGGAAACTATCCAGGGCTGAGTTCTTGTCGTGGAATTTATCCAGCTTGTTGCCTCCAATGGTGGTTCCCACCCTTCCCCATGACCTGAACACCCAATAGCTTCAAGTACATGAAAGATAGAAGAAAAAACACATGGGTTATTTCATGATTAACTATAACATTCCAGTTGCAGGAGGAAATCAGTAACAAACCACCCGGCCACTCTGCACCTCTACCAAAAGAGATGCTTACCGTTTCTGCACGTCGTCCTCCAGCAGCTGCAGCTTATAGTACGAGTTTGTTCCTCTCACAATGTCCACAAGACCCAGAGTGGCACTGTACATCTTCCCACTCTGCTCCAGGACATGGGCACTGTTCTCCAGGCCTGCTCGAAATGAAAAGCATCTTTCCACGTGAGGGGGAAGTTTACATGGGAGACGAATGAAGCTTTCATCTGTGGAAGTCAAGGCTACCTGAGTCTGGGTCCACCGCAGCTCCGCCTTTGACCGTCAGCTTCATCTTCTTGGCTTTGCTACCGCCTGCAATGGTTTGGACTCAATGAGCTTCTTTCTTTGATTTAGCTTTCCCATGCAATGTGAAGGAGCGCAGTCCCTTACCTTCCTCTTCCTTGACCTTGCCGGTGCTTTTGGTCGGTAGAGCTCCAGACTTGGAGGCCACAGACGGAGCCTGAGCTTCCACTTTAACCTCTGCGCCCCAGGGTGAGATGGCATGTAGCGAGACCAGTTCCTGAAGAGCTTTGCCAGATGACTTGATGTCTGTGAGGAAATCCTCGGAGACCACACGGACACCGGCTTCCCTCACATCCTCCATCTTCTTACTCATCTTCTCCACCTCCTCTGAACATATTAAGACAAAGACAGTGTTGGTAAATGTTCAGCTTCGGCCCGACTTTCGATTCTGGCTTCGTGAAATGGTCCCTCACTCTTAGTGCTGAGGCAGAGTGAGGCCTTATTGGCTGTGCCGGTTATATTTCCACCCAGCTCTTCCACAGCAGCCTTGAGATCGTCTTTGTTCTTGGTCAGCTTGCCAACAGCCAGCAGCTTCATACCAGTCAAAGGTTTGTCTAATGGAGAGAACAAAACAATAGATTTATCCTTATGATCATACAGGAATTAATCAAATCCCACCTTTAACATACAGAGAAGATTGTGATTTTTATTTTCCATTCGTACTGAAATATGTTTCCCTCACCTGAAGGAGCAGTCTCTGGCAGCTGCTCAGTCGGGGCAATAGAAGCACTTGCCAGAGGTTCGGCTTTGACTGCTGTTGGGGTTTGGGCGGGAGCCTCCTTAGGGTAGACCCTGTCCTGCCTCTTGAACTTGAATTTTTTTAGAAACGGTACTTCGTGGAATTCCTGAAATGAAATACCTAAATGAAAGATCGCAGCGAATGTTCTAAAATTCCAGTTTTAATCCAGCCTTTTGATGGGGCTGGGAACTGAATCAACAGTCGGATCCACAGAAAGCCCAGGACACAATCACAGTACCAAAGCTCTTCTTTTTCTTTTAAAGCAACAAAAACATTGGCCATTGCTTGTGACCCACCTTGGGGATGACCCAGTCCTTGCGTGCAGGTGTTGTGGTTTTGACAACACACTTTGTCCAGGCTGAGATATCCCCTTTACAGTAATAAGCATCCCCCTTAAACACCAGCTGGCCTTTGCACTCTTTACAGGACTCAAGAGCACCAAAGGCCATTCCGTCAGCCAGGCTGTCAAGCACCTGCAAGAAAGAAGAAAATTCTCATTGGTGACTTCACTTTGGGAAAATGTACGAAAAGTCTTCTTCGTGTTTGAATCAAAATCATGGAAATAAACAGGCAGAGCTGAGGCTGTCTTACGTTGGACTCTCCAGAGGGAACCTCCTGGTTGTTAGCGATCAGCAGCTCCTTCATGTCATTGGTTGAACAATTTTTCTTTAGCTTGTCCTTGATTCCCCAAATCAGCTGGCTTTGATTCTGTAGATAAAAACAGTCAAAACAAACGAAAACAGGCAAACAAAATGTAGTAAAATTGCGGCTGATTACAATTTCCAGAAGGTTCCTGCGAGAAGTTACCTTTAACTGCTCTTCAAGCTTTTTCTTCTCAGCCTCCTCCTCTTTTTTCTGCTTCTTAGATGCCCCATCCACCTCGTCAGCTTTTCGCTTTCTATCAGATCAAAGACAAATTTAGAACTACTTTTGCAGTTCAGCAAGAGCAAACAAGAAGAAAACATCCACATTAACTTCCAATATAAGACTCCAATGGTCACCAGGTGTTAGTCAAGATGAGGGACAAACAAGCCAGAATCTGACACCTTAATTCATTAAATAAATTCATTAGGGCCTCTGCTGCAAATGGACACAACCAAACACAGGTTGGCACATGTCCTTCCAGCCCCTGAGGCCACTAATGATGCAATCCACTCTGCCTCAACAAGAACTGTCCCCCGTGGGACCCTTAATGGCCACCCAGGATCCCCCAGTCTGACCCCCGATTACTTGTCGAGGGAAAAAACAAGAACAAGACAAAAGTCCTCCATTGCACAGTAGCTAAAGCAAAGCGGAACAAACAGAAATTTATAAAACATTGGCCTTCAGATCTGTTGGAGCAGAGGTGCGACGATGGCCGCTGGTGATGGTCCGAGACGTTTATAGCCCCTTGTGGACAGAGCCGAGCCGAGCGAGTAGTCCGACTGCTCCAGTGGATTTCCCCCCCTGTTCAGGGCAGCCATGGAGAACAGCACCAGGTGGCCAGACCTTCAGACTTTCCAGCAAAACAGCAGCTCATCAGACCCGTTCTCCTCCTTCCTCGTGCCTCTACAGGATTTACCGACTTCTCCAGCGCCCCCGCCCCCGGTGATTTCCCCTAACATGCCTTACATGGCGGCCGAGCTCATCATCGCCTTTCTCTCCACAGCCGGCAATTCGCTGGTCTGCGCCGCCGTGGGCCTCAACCGCAAGCTCCGCACGGTCACCAACTACTTCCTGGTCTCGCTGGCGGTGGCCGACATCTGCGTGGGCGCCATCGCCATTCCATGCGCCATCCTGACCGACGTGGGCCTGCCGCGGCACAACCTGTACCTGTGCCTGCTCATGCTCAGCGTTCTGATCATGTTCACGCAGAGCTCCATCTTCAGCCTCCTGGCGGTGGCCGTGGAGCGCTACGTGGCCATCTTCATGCCTTTCCGTTACCAGGTCCTGATGACGTCTCGGAACGCCGTGCTCGTGATCCTCGCCACGTGGCTGCTGGCGTTCCTCATCGGGCTGGTGCCTCTGATGGGCTGGCACAAGACCCCGCCCGACTCCGGCTACTGCTTCTTTGTCCTGGTGGTGGACATGACCTACATGGTCTACTTCAACTTCTTTGCCTGCGTGCTGGCGCCCCTGCTCTTCATGTTCTTCATCTACGCCAAGATCTTTGTCACCGTCAAGCAGCAGGTGCGGCGCATCGCGCCCGAGCGCCAGAGCAGGGACGCAGCTAGCGTGCGCCGGGAGATGAAGATGGCCACGTCCTTGTTCCTGGTGGTCTTCCTCTTCACGGTCTGCTGGATCCCGCTTCACGTCATCAACTGCTTCCTGCTGCTGTGTCCGCACTGCCACGTGCCCCTGGAGCTGCTGCTGACCGCCATCATCCTGTCCCACGCCAATTCGGCCGTCAACCCTTTCCTCTATGCGTACACCATGACAGCTTTCAGGGACACGTTTAAGGCCATTTTCCTGTGCTGCACAACCCTGGGGAACAGGGGGGCGCTAAACAGGTCCAGCAGCGGTGCGGATACGAGCAGCCGACCCGAATGAACCGGCTGAACCTGGGCCAACTCAACCTTTTTAATAATTCCTACGAAAAAAAAAAAGAAAAAAAAAAGAATTTAGAAGCCTCACCCTTCTGATTTGACAGCAGGGAGCCTCTTCTTCAGCTCCTCCTTGTCTTCAGCTCGCAGGGCGTTGAAGCCCTTGAGCTGCGCCGCGCTGTATTCGGGCTTGAAGAGCAGCTCCTCTCTGCGGCTCACGAAGCACGCCGTGTGGTACCAGCGGTCGATCAGGCCCAGCTGCGGCTTCTCGGCGTCCACCGTTTTCTTAGAGACGCGAATCTGATCCTGGTTGAGAAGCCAGAAGATTGCACAGGCAATGTAAACGCCGACGGCATAGCGGCCGCGCCCCAATTTGGAAATTGAACAACAAACCTTCTCTATTTTCTGCTCGCAGCCCTTGCATGTGCTGCGGTTCGATTTGGCGTATTCCACCGCAAAGTCAGTCAGAGTCTTCTCTGCTTTAGCAGCGCTTTTCGGCTCGCCTTTTCCTGCAACACAGAAGTCTCATTTTTACTTCCTATGTCAAATGATCTATGTGTTTTAATGACAAAAAATGAGCAAAAGTATAAACAAAACAAAACCTAAAAACCAATGTGCTGCTACTCTGTACTGACTGGAACCACTCTGTTTGCTGTGTCTTTATCTGGAAATGTTAATGAGTTTGCCCATAATAACTATACGTCCAGTGTCTGGATAAGGCAGAGAGATAATTAAACTGCTGTGTACATGGAACAGACCTGTAAACACCAACGAGTCAAATCACAAACCTGATCCTACAGCTCCACCGCTTTCGATAGCCTTTTTGACCTTCTCCTGGTCCTCCCAGCGGAGATCAGAAAACCCAGCGATGTCGGCCGTGGCCTGCGCTGATGCTCGGTGCCAGAAGCAGGAGAAGTGGTGCCAGTGGGGGACCTTCCCATCAAACATGGGCGACTGGGGGACAAAAAACACACAGCATGCATAGCCTGTCAGCCACGTTTGTTATGGCAGAGGATGTTTTATTGAGGAAAAAATCTTATCTGATTAAATAAATGTTGTAGTGAAAAGTAACTGATGGGTTCATGTGCGTAAGCATTTGAAATTAAATAAAAATGAACGTACTGTACTTCCTTGATTTTTTAAAATCATTCGGGGGCCAACTCAATAATTTGTTAAGTGCTCGCACAATAAATTAACTATAAAGTCCAGTAAAACAGAGAAGAATAAACTGTGCGAAGGCAAATTTGATTTGTTCATCAGTAAATACTAAACGTGCCAAATGAATATTCTGCGTGCATTTGAAAAGAAAAAAATACATTTTCATACAAATCCAATGTTTTGGCTTCATCATTTTAACAATGGAATGAAACTTTTGAGTTAATCCAGAGGAGCTAAGAATGAATAAAGTTGGATCAAACAATCTGGACTTAACTAAACTGACTAGATTTAAAGTTATAAAGTCCCTGTGCCATCCTGCAAAAAAGAAAAAATATTTGAGACTTTTCTATTGATCCCTCTGAGAAACGGGGTCGTTCATTAAACTGGTACAATCCGTTAAGTGATCCCACCCTGCGGACTCGGTAGGGCCGGTGATGGGAGACCTGGACCTGCTCCATCGGCCATGAATAAGGAGTCTGGCATGGTGAAGTAGCCCCATAAGCAGATTCCCAGACTCTGGGATAATCACCCGATCTGCTGTCGTGATTTAGTCCTCTCACGCTGCTCGGATATGAACTCAACCCTTTGAGCTTTTACAAAAAAACACGCACCACTCGCTGCCGGCCATCTCTCACAAGAATGTGCACGGTTCCACGTTGAGAGAGGCTCTTTGTGAGCCGGAGTGTGCAGACAACGTCAGCCATTTAAATGCTAAGCGGGGCCTAACTTAGCTAGACTGAGCCCCCTCGAGAAAAAAACAAGTTTTCGTTGTGAAATTAGCTCACAATGCTTCATTTTACATTCGTGCCCACGGGACTAGAACTAAAGTGTGACGCTGGGAGCCTGCTGAATCTTGGGCTAACGTGCTCCAGACGTGGCTGCCTCACCTGCACCATGATGGCCATCCTTAGCGAGTCTTTCGCGATGTTTTCTTTGCATTTCTTGCACGACGCGCGGCCGCTTTTGGCGTACTCCGCCCGGTACAGCTTGTCCTCTTGGGAATCCGCCATAGCTCTTTAGTTTCGGGGGCAAAGTAAACGGACCGAGTGCGAACAGCAACTTTCTTCCCGGTGACGAGGAGCCACAACAATCACAGAGGGGGAAGCTTCCAGCGAAGCCCGCGTGCGCGCACGCCAGCACAGAGGCGCGCTCCCGAGAAGAGCTCTCACTCCGACCCCGTTTCCGAACCTCAAACCAGAAAACGGAAGCAAACATTTCCCCAAATTTTCCCTTCGTTTTAAATACTGTGGGGTTATAAAACGTGTCTACATTTTTGGACAGAGGCTAATGATTTAATACAGGCATTTTAGTGGCAATTCTAATGTTTTGGATCTGTTTGCTGTAACTTCTAACCTTTTTTTTTTGTGTGTGTATGATACTTAATATTGAATAATTAAAAACAACAGTGAATTTGTATTTATCATACCTGTCCAGGGTGTGCAACCCGTCTTGCCACGTGACAAATGGAATACTCTCCAGCTGGTGTATGCAGGGACAGCATGTGGGGGTTATCTTCTGCTTCTTCCACCCACCAAAAATCACACGCTGAGTTAAGCTGTGATTCTAAATGGACCCTTCGACTGAATGAGGATGGTTGTTTGTCTCTTTGACCCTGCAATGGCCAGGTGTATCATTTCTCCCTCATCTGAAGGCAGCTGAGAAAGGCCCAAGGTTGGTCTGATATGTGGATAGCTGTCAGGCATTTTTGGCCTATTCATATAATTTCCTGTTGTTTAGATAATTAAATTGAATTGTGCCCATTTTCCCCTAGTGTCTTATTGTGAGATTCGTTCTAAAATACGTCACATTTCTGCAAAGAGACAAGGAGCTACATTGGGTGGGTCTGTAATTCAACCAGAGAGTCATCTTGCCGAATAGAAGATCCCCTGGAGCACATCATGGAATACCCGCGTTAGCTGCAGTCAGAACCAAATGATGGAAGAGAAATCGAACTCATTGTCTCACAGGAAGGGAAATACATTCACCATAGAATTAGAAATTAGCAGTGAACCACTTTGCCACTTTGTCCACTTTTGTCGTTGTTTGTGCCCAGTCTGCATTCTTAGAAGTTCCCTTTCATTGTTACATACATGTTAGCTGAAGAATGATTTGATGCTGATGATGCGAGAGAGTGTGATTTGTTAGAAATATGACTACAGGGTCCTCTCACACCTTAGTTTGCCTTAGAAGGCTGATATAGCAGAGCCAGGAATATTTCAATTTGTCATCATTTATTTGATTTATATTTCGAATTTCTTTTTTAAATGGACAAAGTATTTCCCATTTCACTTGTCATTTCTCCCCTGCTGTCTGGATTGAGTTGAAGTAATTCAGATGGAAGCACAAAATAAATCATATCAGCATCAGTGATCATACTGTGCTTTTGGCTACGATGAAATGAAAAACAATCAGCATCATTGCTTTTATTAAGGGAAATCACACTATTATATGCTTCTGTAAAAAAAAGTGTATAAAAATATTCAGAATGTGCATAGTTACTGTAACATTTACTGTACATTGTGTCCTTTTCTTGACATGAACTCCCAGAACACCAAACTTTTAAAAGACATGACCTGACCACAACGCTGTTTGCGTTTGTTAGGTGATACAACGTTGTGTCCATTGCAAACTTTGTTGAAGACTTTCATTTATCCCCTTTTATCATTTTGACAATGAAAACAGTAACAACACAACTCAACAATTGACTCACACAGCCACTGAAAGCCCTTCATAGGACTTTCTTTCTTTTCTGAAGGTATGCATGTCAATAGTTTAGAATAATAATGTGACTATATCAGTTCTATATGAAATATCACATAGAAATGTTATACCGATGAGACCTAAACACAGCAGAAAAAATAGCATATGTACAAAATAAAAAAACAAGCAGCAGTAAATTGATAGATAATGGAAATGCAACTGTAAACAACACTGAAATGATGTGACAATGCAGTTCAAAGACTTTTCAGTGCTGCATAGGCCATTTGAGTTGTTTCTTTGAGGTATTCAATGTTTTGGCTCAGAGGTCTGACATCTTGCTGGAGTATCATCCCAGCTAATGAGAAGACCTGTTGGCTTTTTCTTAACTGAGAAATGGCATTTAGAAAAAAAAACAAAAAACAAGGCTCTCAAGATGTTCATCTCAACTTTAAGAGCCCCGTAGGACAGGCAGGTCTTTTCAAAATGCCAGTCTAAACTGATTTGACCTGCAGAAACATAGTTTCTGGACATCGACCGTGCATGATTTCGGTTCTCAGCACTGCAGGCTGCAGTGGCTTATACCAAAAGTCCCATTGCTCTCTCTCAACTTCTCTTTGTTTCTGGCCTGGACGAGACCAAACACCAGTCCAGCCAGCGTCATACGTCCTCCTGTCCGCCCCCCTGGGCGCAAATCTGATCCAGCCTTTGCCTTCTTGCTGCGCATGGTGCTGATGAAATATGTGCGGATTTTCCCCTGGCACTCACTGACCTAGAGTGCAACAAAAAAGTGGTCATAAAGAGGTACAAGCCTTTATCTGTGGCCCTAGATAAATCTGTTAACACACACACACACACACACACACACACACACACACACACATAAAACATATATCTTATACTTACACCGTAACAGCAGATCAATCCCAGCATTTCATTTTCAAATTTCTACTTTATGAACAAGAATGTAACACTGAACACAAATTGATGAAACATATTGATCTCCAGCTCACCCCCTTGACAAATATTTCTCCACGTAGCTCCAGGACAAAACCCCACTCCGACAGGATGCGGCGGGTGGCCTCGGGCACCTGAATGCGGCCACTCACGCCTGTGGTGTCCATGCGACTTGCCAGGTTCACCGTTGATCCCCAGATATCGTATTGTGGTTTAGTAGCACCAATTACCCCTGCGACCACTGGTCCATTGGCAATACCTGGAGGGGGTCCAACAACAGATAACAAAGTTCCATTATTCTATCTCAGTTCTACATTTGCGATAAGTCTCTGCCACTGTGGCTTTGTGTGCGTGTGTGTCTGGAGGTCAGCCACATACCCACGCGCAGCTCAAAGTTTTGGGCGGAGTATCTGTTAATCTCTTTCAAGGTCTCCTGCATTGCCAATGCAAATAGAACCAGCTCACTCAAGTGATTCCACTCCTCCATTGATGTCTGCAAGAGAAAAAGATCCATGAAAAGTTGGAAGCAGAGACAGAATATCAGTGTGGGTGGCGAAATAGTGTAAGCATACCAATGGTGAAAATACTGGGTGCTTTGCAACATGCAAATTAAAAACAGAGGGGAGTTATTTCCAATTCTATCAAACACCAGTTCAATAGAAGAAAAAGCACATCAGTTGTCAATTCAACTGGAAACGTATTGTTTTTCAAATGTGTAGGATTTTACGCTGCTTTCTAACATTTCCTGGAATTACACAGGAACATCTCCCACCTGTCTCTTGGGAGCCAAGCCAGATGCAGCCATGTAACAGCTCCCAATAGTCTTGATCTTCTCCACATAGTGGAAGTATGACTCCTCCAGTAACTTGTGAAAAGTGAGGGGAAAAAACCATGCATCACATTTTGCAGACTCAATTATTTTCTCTCAGAATTATTCATTTATTTTTTTAAAGATATGAATGAAATTAGAATCACTCCAAAAGGAAAAAAAACTATGCAAATTTCAAGCCTTTGCTCACCTCATCGAAGCCAGCAATGATCTCATTCAGCAGTCGGAGGCAGTCGACACCTTCATGTTTAATCTCTTTCTGCTCAAAGTACTCATTGAAGCCAGCGATGGAGGCAAACATGACACCAACATCATCATAGGACTGGGAGTAAAGCTCCTACAAAGACAATTGTCATCCACATTAACCATTAAAACAGGTACTCTTGAAAAAGTCTTTACTCAGTATGGATAGAGTGTTGTCAGATCTTTGAAGTTAAACATAAATTTCAAAGCAGCAAAAGGCCACAGAATGGAGCTTGATTAACAGTGTTGACTCTGGGACAGGTGTTTTGAGTACCTCATCATTCTTACTCCGGTCCAGAAAATGTCGTGCTACATGCACGGGCAGGATGTTGTGCAACAAGCACTCATTGTGTTCCCGCAATTCCCTCATGTCTTCCACCTCCTGCTGGGCCTGGAGACGCCACAGGAAGTCCAGTCTGGCCGTAGCCTCCCACTGGGGTCAAAAAGATAGAGAGATGCAACACCAGCAGCATTCAACACCCTTTTAGGCATCCACACAGTGTGGCTCTGAGCAGCTTTGCAGGTTGGAAAGATAAACTCATTTTGACTCTGTCCAGAGACAGAAACTGAGGAACTGACAAAGTAAATTCTTTAAAAAGGCACAAGTACCTGCCGTCCATTGTAGAAAACAGCAACAATGAACATTGCCATCAGAAAAATGGAAATCCCTTTTCTCCTGACATAGTGAGACCTGGATAACATGGGATCAGATTATTTATGAATAACATGTCTAACTTATACATATTCAGAGATTTGAATATTCACTGACATAAACTGATAAAGCAGGTAAATTATGAATCTATGTTACATGCAGACCTGTGCAGCGTGTCGTGGCGGGTGAGAGCAGCGAAGGCCAGGTGGATGATGTACGAGTACACAACCACCACCACCAGCAACACCGCCAGCTTGAGCAGGGAGTTCAAACGCAGGAACACAGCACATGTCACCATGGCGACCACGCCACTCAACACAAAGATCTGAGAGAACAAAGAGATTATCGACACTACTGTCTTGAAGCGGACTGACTTAATTTATCCCTTTTGAACTGAAATGATGAAAAAACAGATAAAAAAAAAACTAAATGCAAACTTCTCCATCCTTACTTCTGGGTAGGTGCAGACAGAAAGCGATTGTGAGCCAGTGTTCATCATATCCACTGTATCAGCCTCTCCCGTGGCTGTGAAGATGCACCACACCTGCACACAGTGCAAAGTTTGAATCTCATAAGAAATGCCAGGTTACTTCACTGCAAAAGACCCAGTTAACATCCTCACATGCTCAGCTGACATTTTTAATCAGGATGGTGGTGACTGTAGGCTTGAGCAGGCTATAACTTCACTCTCTTAATATGCTTTTCACGGGGGAATATGCATATGACTGCAGATGGGCAGACTGACACTGACCCACTTTACAAGGGTCAGTTACACAAGGAAATTAGGACAACTGCAAAACTGCAGATGAACAGAAATAAAAGTTGGTCAGGGTTTGTTCTCTGTACAGGAGTTGTTCTCCCTCTCACCATGTCAGTAGAGGCCAAGCCGAAGTTGATGACAATGGCTGTTAGGGTGAGGAGGTTGCGGGCACTGTTGTTTTCGTGGATCCAGCAGCAGAAGTGCTGCAGTGCTGCTGGAGTTCTCTTGAACTCCTCAGCCAACGCGACCAGCAGCAGCAGCATGTACATGAGCAGAAAGACAGAAAACTGGAGGATGGCGGGGTACTGCCTGCAGGTGGACAAGTGAGGGTAAAAAGAAGACAGAAAATGCTGATTGAATGAGAATCTTCATCAGGCATAGAAAGGATTAAGGGTGTGACATCTGCTCTAAATAATGTGACGTGAAGTCTTAATAATACATTTTCTGTATGGCCACCAGTCTGAGTCTCCTAAATGGAAATAATGGAATAGACATGTTTTGTGATCATTTTCTGTTTCCTAATGGTCCATTTGAGCCTTATTAAGACTCCTTTGACCATTTTGTTGTATGTATTTTTGTTGTAACTATAGCTAACATCCCGTTTTCGGTCTTACTTTACACTAATTTTCCCTACTTTATGTCTGCTCTGCAGCTTTTTGGGGGGTTATTTTGTGCACCTTTCTGGGATACATATTGCATTCTGTAAGTTGGATGATTTATATGACACCAGGAATATCAAAATAGGTCTTTTGGCCTCCTTTTTTGTTTCTCTTTGAATTTAATACTCCATACAGCCTTTAGATGGCACTAAAGTAAAGAAAATAATGTGAAACAGCAGACTAAAATGTAAAAGACTGAAATATTTACAATATGAAGAAAAACTTAAACTGATGATTTTAGTTTGTCATCAGCGAAGCTGAATTGGTACAAAATAACAATGGATCTTTGAAGGTTTAGGGAGAAATACTTGATCAAATAGATGCTTGTGCACTTCTTCCCACCTGGGAGCAGGGATTACAGCCTGGGCAGCCATGAGAAAGATGAGCACGATGAACGAACAGACCATGTTGGAATTAAACATCTCATCTCGTATCTGGGAGAACTGCACCAACCAGAGGCCAAAAAAAGAAAAAGAATCCATGTTATTTACATTGTGCAATTGACATGCTAATTACACTGCTTATATGGAGGATTTCTGACCTGAAGCTACACCTTCCTACCTTATCCTCAATGTGTGTGTCTTTAAACACCAGTGTCAGAGGAGTGATGTGCTCCTTGCGCATGCGTTCGCTGCTTCGAACCTCAATGGCATGTTTGATGCGTTTGTTAATCTCTCTGGAGGTTGACTGCCAAATACTGGGCAGTGAGCCATTAGTAAAAGAGGCCAGGATCTGCTGGGGAGGGACATCAATGATTGATTAGGTCAGAGGAGATATAACTGGAACCTCCCTCAACTTCGCACAGGGTTTATAGTTACTCCTCCAACTCTGCTTTTTGTAGTCCTGCACTCACACTATTCATGTCAATAACAAGCCCAAAAGGGATCTCTGGGTTCCAGGTTCGAACGTTCTTCTGGACTTTGGTGGGCTCGGCATGGTCATCCTGATCCGTTTCCTCTGGTGGGCAGATGAGGAAGGTGTCGATGTTATGTTTTCGTAGAAACTCGTTCCTGTCACGACCATGACCGTCCTCTGTTTTGTAGGTACCATCTAGACAATCCAGAGTTGCCCTTGAGATGTGGATCCGTCTGGATTAGATAGAAAGACAAAATGCAAATACAAACATCCCTAAAGTGCAGTGCAGGGGTTAAAACCTTCCTTGACAGGTTCAACAAACAATAATTGGACAACAAGAAAAAATTACCATAACTCTTTTATTTCATAAAAGCAGATAGATCTGAATAATTGTGGACAACTTGGAGACTGGTGAAACACTTTTTTTGTGGCACCATTAACCTGTTTGACTTACCCTGGTATACCTCCGGCTTCCAGCATGTTGGCGATGCCCACATCCCAGGACCAGACGTCAAACTGCCACTTCTGCAGGCCCAGCACGCCACAGAGAACAGATCCGGAGTGGATACCTATCCTCATGTTCATCTCAAAGTTCAGCTGCTTCCGGACAAGTCTGGGGTTGGAAGTGTGACCATGGTAAGATGTTACAATGGCCTCTTAGCTCTAGTAATGTTTAATAAATGTAGCATTTAGTAAGAAAATGTCATTTGCCTTGTGGCTAAACTTAAATCCAACTTTCCCACACAACTGCTTAATATTTCTGACTGATTGCACATCATCATTCTCCTGCTGCCCCAAACTTGTATGCAAAGTCAGCACTAACCGTATAGTGCTGATCATAGCCAGGCCCATCTCAACGCAGTAACGTGCATGGGCTTGCTGTGGCTCAGGGACCCCAGACACACAATAGTAACAGTCACCCAGTAGCTTTATCCGCAAGCAGTGGTGTTCCTATGATAGAAAATTAAATTAGAGTTCACCAGACTAAAAGTTCCATAAAGATTAATAGTTATTAGAAAATACAAAGCTCAGGTTCACACCTCTGCCAGCCGGTCAAAGCGTCCAAAAAGCTCATTAAGGGTTCGAACCAGCTCTTGTGCTGAAAGGTTAATTGACAACTGAGTGAAGCCTTTGATATCTGCAAAAAGGATGCTGCAGAGAGAAAATAATTGTATGAAGAATACTGAATATATCGACAGACAAACTGAGAGACTTACCCATAAATAACCCAACAAAACAGCCTTATAGCATTAGCTAGCATAGCTCAGAGCCTGGAACATCACCTGTCACTCCCACATCCTCTCTGGTCCTCCTGAGTAATGCCCTCTTCCACCCTGAGTTTGTGTGTGTGTGTGTGCCTGATTTCAGGAGCTTAGGGCGTTGTGTTAATTCTGAGAAAAGCCTCATCAGCTACACCTCAACTCAATTATCAACCTTTCCAGATTGGAGGTTTAAGCTTACTCACTTCTGCTGCTTTTCAGCTTTCTGTTTGTGCTAGCCTTTGCTTATACGCCATTCTTTGTCTCCTCTGAAACCTTGCTGGCTTTTCCTGTCCAGTTTTGCTCTCAACCTGGCCTCAACTCTTCTCTCCCTTGCACTTCATCAATTTCAATGCTCTGCAACCTTGCACACCTCCAGTAAATCTGCTGATCTAGTGAGTATGCAAATTCATCTGTCATCTGTCAGTATATCTATACCACTGCTCTTGTATTAAACATATTGGTTGTAAAAGACTATCACACTTGATTATTGAATATCAATCTAATTTGTGTTGTGTTCAAGAGGTTATGCAGGGAATCAGAGGCCTGGAACAGCACAGAGTGCAAATGCAAGCTATGTCCATACCAATATGTGCAATTACCTGACATCTTTGTACTGGTGGATGTAGATCTTGTGAAATTCCTGAGGGTTGAGTTCATCTTCCAAAGAGCTCATGTCAGCAATCATCTCCAAGGCAACAAAGCCTGGCAGGATTGACAACACCAGGCGCTCCTGTGACAGTCATGTAATCAGTGATTTGCATTTCCAAGATAGTGGGAATTTATGCACAAATTTCTGGGTAAAAAAATATGAAACGATAGATTTGTATCATGATATAAACTGAACTAGTGTTTACGGCTTCGTTGGTGAAAAGTCGAAAATTATTTGTGTGTCTGACAATGACATCACCTTCCAGCAGTTCATCAAGCTAATTCGCTGAGGGCAGTGGCAGACTTCAGCATACCTGTCTCTGGTTCTCTTGCTCTAGTTTGAGGCGGCCCTCGATGCAGCGACGCGTCTCCAGGAAAACCTGTCTTTGAGCATGGTCTGTCAAGTAATGGATGAACAGGCCAGCTGTGTTCATACCCAAATACAGCAGGCCTTTGGCAAACACCTGCATCCAAAGAGGTTACAGAGATATTAATATCATCATCCTCATACTTTTTAAACCAGGAAAAGTGCAGTAAAAGGTCAGAAAAGAAATGATATATATATATACATATAATACTTATGGTAGACCTATCTTGAATAAAATTGGCAGAAACGTAAAAAATCACACGCATTATTTCAGTTTTTGAAAACTGGGAATTCATCCATAATCATAATCATGATTATGTCCTTTGCATATTGAGAAAAAAATAGCACATATCTGCCTTTAAAGGCATTACCCAGTAATGTTTAAAAAGAATAACGGTGACCACAAAGCTCACACTCCCTCATACAGACTCGTGCTCTTTTTTAACTTTGGTTCTGCCATTCCTGCACCAGGCAAGGGTTTTTTGTAGTTCCACAATAGTTGAACAAGCTATGAATCATTATTAGGGCAGAGATGTATATCTCTACAGTTACAAATCACTTTAAGACTCATCCTTCCGAGCACATGTCTAAATACTCTAACACCCCAGCCGGCCTGCCTCACATAGCTTTGCAGCTCTTTATCTTGCACTCTGTCTAAATAGATTTAGTACCTAATGCTACACTTTGGTTTCTTAATGTATTGGGGTTTCTGAAAAATGATCTGATTCAAGATCAGAGAACAGAAAAAGTTCAATAACGTTCAACGGGATAGGATCGTACGAAGCAAAGGCTGGTTGCAAACAATGTTTGAAAATTGCAAAAATATTCACAGGGGAAACTCAGAGACTAAACTGGTAATGTCACAAACCAAAAAATGAATAAGTGAGATGGCAAAATGTGGTCTGGGGTGCACAGTAAAGAGCCTTCAAAGAAACATCATCACCTTCTTGCCTGCTTCAGCTAGAACCTTTTTATGGTTAGTTTTTAAGAATGTCTCAATTCATAAGGTGCAGTTGAAGGACAGAGAGGTGAGGAAGCTTGTAGAGGGATCTACTGAAAACATGGAGACAGCAAGGGTAACTTTTGTGGCATGTTTTTTTCTATACTGCAGTCTTATCTCAAATTAAATGACAGATTAGTCACAGACATATTCAATGCTCATCAAATGGAAAAACTAACACACTTAAGTGCTGCAACAAAAATAGCTGCATGATGAAGTTTACACATCCCATCCAGAAGCGATGCTATTTTAGAAAGATCCCTCTGGAGCCAGGATGTCTACTTTAGTGGAGTTAGGCCTTTTATCTTGTCTTCTCTATCCTTGTGTTTGTCCTTGCCTCCTCTGCGTGTCTCCAGGAGGGACAAATATGCAAATTGAGGAGTTCACCAAATTGAGGATGAATTGAGATGAAAGGCAGGTTGTTCCAGTTACAGTTCTGGTTATGTTTGTTAAGATCTTATATGCTGGTAAGAGTGGAGCAAGTGGCAGCAACATGCTTTTTGTTTGATGCATGCTCAACAACTCAGGAGGCAGAAATGACATACATAGATTTCACAGAGATGTAACCGAATAAAAGAAAAACAACCTGAATTACACATTTGGTGAATTATTAGAGGAAGGAGATTTCTATTATGAAACTACACAGGATGCTTTCGCAGTCATTTCATCGGCTAAGATTGAAGGGAAGTTAAGCATTAAATGGACTTAATAAACATAAGAGATTGAGATGAGTTTCTCACCTTTTTGAAAAGCATAGCTTCATTGTAGTAGTGCACAATCTCCACCAGAAGGTGCAGAATTGAGGTGAGGGAGCCGGCGCACATGGCCCACAGCAGAGGCAACGGCAACAGGGTGTATGTTGCAAAAAGTGTGAACATGACATACCACGATGGGTCTTTTTCTAATCCATACACTAGACCCCCCAGGACCTGTGTGGTCTGTGAAAACCAGCTGGCGAGGCCGGCAAAGTGAAGCCACTGAGGGGACATGGAGTCTTTGCATGTTAGCACCACGACACACAGAGCTATGGCAAACACCATAAAAATGCCTGTTAGGCATCCACGCAGGGCATCTGTTGGAGCTTCCGGGGCCAACGCCAGGTACAGAACCAACACGTGGAGCTTGGCCACGGCATCAATCACATTGGTTATGGCAAGAGAGTTGCGTCTCTGGTGGGATGAGTATTGCTGGTAGAGTTTTTCTAGATCACGGGATTTGAAAGTATGTCTCAGCATGGGTACGTAAACTCCACGAATAGTTTTACCCCAGTGCACAAAGAAGTCTGCATCACTGGTGTAGTCCTGAGCGGTACCACCAGAACTGCCATGTGTGCTTGTGGAACCACGGGCCTGGACTCTGAATGTTGAAGAGCGCCGTTTGGTCACCCCACGTGAGCCCTTGCTGCGGATTTGCCTGTTGATGTCCTCTATGTAAGTGTCCGTCACAAAGATTTTGCGGGCCGGTTCCACACCCACCTGCCACAAAGAGAAACCATAAAGAAACACAGTCTTTTATCAATGTGGTGCAAAGTCTCCAACAATCTTTAGAGACAAATTAACTACAGGTTTCGACCTATGTGAGTTTTGCTTTTGGTGGCAACAGAAGGAATGTGCAAATGAAAAAGCAGACAAAACAGTGGAAACCATTTGGATGTCACAAATCTCCTGCTGACTGGAAAAGTCCATCACCTGAGCGCTGAGCTCCTGCTGGATGATGATGTGTTTCACTGCATTCTGCCACAGCATCTTTTTTCTCCTGAGCCCAGGAGACAGCGAGTTACTCAAACACGGGGGCTCATGCAGCTCCATGGGGGAGACCTGGGTTGTGTCAGAAAAGGTCACCATGGTGATGACCTCAGCTGACATCACCTGCCGGTCTCAAATGAGCAAAAAGTAACAGGCTGGAAGAAGAGGGAGAAGAGAGATGTCATCATAACTCGGCTTATATATCCTTGTAATTATCATCGTCTCTGTCATGACATGTAGCCTCAGTGATTATCAACTGAGGAAAAAAAGATCTAATTTGGATTAATGTACCATCCAATTTTTTTTATCACCTGAAACTGGGATTCGAAGTTTGTGAGGTCATTGGTGGAGTCTGAGTGTGCAAAAAGGGATTTTTCCAGCACGATGAGGGCCCGCCATTTTTTCTGCCAACAGAATGTAACCAACCAACCTGTACGATACCAACCAAGCTGTACGATACCGCTCAAAAAGCATGTTCTGCAACTCATACTTTGGCAGATGGCCGCCTATCCTAAGTATGGATCTACCAGAAGTTTCTTCTTGTTAGAAGGAAGTATTTTCTTTGCTAGTTGACTCGTCACTGCTGAGGATGGATTGGATCAAAGAGCAGATTCAATGCAATCTTTGCTTCCTTAAATAAGAACTTTTTCAATTGGTAGTCTATGAATTGGATGGAGTTTGGTTGCATTATATTGAATTGGATTGTTATTGGCCTGAATTGGACTGTATTTTTTAAAGGCCTCGACATGACATTAGTTGTGATATGGCGCTATATAATTAAAGAAAACATTGTTATTATGTAATTATCACCTGGCTAGCTAAATCAGTAGAGGCTCTTAATCTCAGGGTCATGGATTCAAGCCACAAATTGGCACTAAGATTATTCCACAATTTCCTTTGGGCTAGATAAAGGAACTATGAACACTGTGCTGTAAACTTTAAGTTGGACATGTAAAATATGCAGTTGAAAACGAGAAAATGCCTTTGTCTTTTGTTCTGTAAACGTCTTATTTACTTTCTAAAAAATACCTTCTGTGGCTTGAAGCCGACCAACCCTACAAGCAGACATCCTTATACTTTCGCACAAATCCATCCATCCATGATTTGTACTGCTTATTCCTGGTAGGGTTGCGGGGGGGAAGAGAGGGGGCTGGAGCCTATCCCAGCTGAAATGGCAAAAGGCGGGCTACACCCTGTACATTTTCCAGTCCATCACAGAGCCACACAGAGAGAAACAGACACTCAAACTCCTACTCACACTCACCAGGGGCAATTTAAAGTGTCACAAAAATACTTTTTTGTATCATGAGGATCATTGCCAATTTGCCAATGACTGAGAAATCCATCCAAATAAATGTAGCTAGTTCTTGAAAATGTAGGGGAAAAAAGGCCAATATTTCATGCTAAATCCATCTGGGGTTCTTGAATTCATGCTGACAGATGCGGTTATGGAGCACACTCTCAAAACGCCACCTGACCGGCTCCACATGTTGATACAGCCCGTGCCAGAAGAAAGGCAGCTTTTCAAATGAGTTATCTGATGGCCAGATTTAGCCCTGAGCTGGTTAATGCTCTGAGTTAAACTCCTCCAGGTCATTCCGGCTCTCCATTCTGCCCTAGCTGCTAGCAGCCCTCTGTCACCAGTCTCTTCTCACTCAAATCATGTACCCACGCTTGACAGACTGGATTTGAAAAATAATTCACATTTTCATTCATGTACGTCATTGTGGCAGTATGCTAACGCATTCACTGTGAATTAATTTTGGAGCATTAAGCAAAATTTCCCTCAGTGGAAGAATCACTTTGTCATGACTCTAATCATAATGACGGATAAATTAAATTAGACTCTATTCACTACACGCTACTAAAACTCAGGTTAAGATGGTGTCTCATTAGTACAATACTGACCTGCGCTGTTTTACATTTTCTGTCTCTTCTCCTCTTGTCCAGCTTTTGTCAAAGGATGAAATCTGCCAGCTTGTCATAATCCACTTCTGTTGATTCCATTGCACAGCAATTCCAAACCAATGCGAACATAAAGACATGAGCCGTGAAAGGAGAAAAAAAAATTACTGTACAAAAATCCCAAATGCTGTGAAGTACTTAGCATAGATGTGAAGAGCAAGTTATGCATCCATCACGGGTGTGTGAACACATTCTGGCAGGATTCTAGGTCACCACCTGGACGCTTTCAAAATGAAGTCAACAACGAAGCGGAGTGAGGAATGCAAAGCGGATTAATTAGTCAGCAGCCACTCTCACTGGCCCGTAAAGTCGGGTTCACAGGCCTCAAGCCAACTCAAGAAAAAAAATACAATGCTCTCATCTTTTTAAAGCAGGGCTGACACACAGATAAGAACAGTGAGATAAGAGCTCAATCACTTTTCTCTTCATACTATTCTTTTGTTTGACTTTCCAACCAAGCTGATATCGTCCGACACGTGCTGCCTCCTCTATATCTGTGTGCTCTTATCTAATTTTAAACCTGCCAGAGCAATTAAAGACATAAGTGTGACAATGTCCTCTAAGGCTGTGCACAGTTACACTGTCTGAAAAGCCAACAAAATCTGGCTGCTTAAAGGGAAGGAGGCCGAGTCACGTTCTATCCTCACAGGATGGGACTCAGTGCTAATCAGAAAAATGAAAACGCTTTTTACAGACCTTTAAATGTGTGTTTCTGCCTCTACGCATTGAACTTTTGATATTATCTTCATGAAAGAAGTAAAAAAAACTTTCATATTTTCATTTCAAACTTGGCTTGGCTTTCAGGTCTGATTTACTTTTATTAGATTTTTTAGCTTACTCTTTAGGTGATACACACTTATCCCTAATTTTCTGTCATACAACTTTTTTTTTTCATTCTAATATAGTTTTTTCAAGCTCAACAACAGATGATGCTTTCAGATAAACCCATAGCAGAACAATATTCATAATTCTGGTTAGTTTGACAAAAACAGAATTATGTGCTGTGAAGTTGTGAGGATAAACCGCTCAGTACTAAGAAAGTAAAATAAAAAACAACTAACCTCAAAGTACGGAGGTGTGAGTTTTCCTGACAGATTCAGCAGGTCAGTGGTCTGCATGGTGGTAAAGTGGGTTTAAGATTTTGAGACTTGCAAACTGTTTCCGGGCATCACCGAAAGCCCCTAAGGCTGATCTAATGAGTTTCCATCTGTTCCCGAGTGACTGTGTAGCTTAGACCTTTCACACTGATTACCATACTTCTAAATATATCCCTCAGGGCTAAGGGAAGGAGTTTTACTATGACTGAGGCCACATCAGCATAGAGCTCTGATACTTTGCTGGCAATGCAATGCAGTTTAACAACTCTGAAAACTATCTATGTGATGTCAGATCAGGTTGCAACAAAGAAAAAGAAAACCAGTGAGATTATTATGAAATAATAAGCTTATGCCTGGATCTGTTAGTCTACTTTGGCTATTGTGATTAGTTCCACCTGAAAGAGGAGTGGGTCTGCCATGTTGAAACCAAAGACACTAATAAGCATTAAGGCTGACTACTTTGGATGTACAGTAATCAGCTGAGAGTTATCCGCCCTGAAGGCATACTGACAACAGAACTGACCTTATGGCCTGTGCTTGCAAGCCAAAAATCTCACCTATACTAAAGATAGAGGTCTATTTGTGTCTCTTAGTGTGCATCAGTATGGCCAGTAACTTGTATGCTGGTCGTTACACAAAGCTCTTTTAAGAGGAGGTGTGTTAGGGTCAGTTCAGGACAAATTAAAGATTTTTTTTAACAGTGCTATTCCTGACTGTCCATTAAGCTAATTTAATGTAATAGTACAATAAATAATACCATATTACATTTATTATTATTATTATTATTATTATTATTATTATTATTATTATTATT